AAGGTCTGGATCTGTTTGTTTACTTGTGCGGTGTATCGGGCCATCCACCTTGAATTGGTGACGTCATTGTCCACAAATGCTTTTATACAAGCATTACGTCGTTTCGTGGCTCGACGGGGACGTCCTAAGACAATCTATAGTGACAATGGAACAAACTTCGTGGGTGCGGAAAGTTCGTTCGGGAATTTGGATTGGGACGCAATAACTCGGTGTACAGCAGTACAACGCATCGTCTGGAAGTTTAATCCTCCTAGTGCACCGTGGTGGGGAGGATTTTGGGAACGTTTAATAGGACTCTTGAAACAACTCTTGAGAAGAGTGTTGGGCCGTGCGTCGCTAGATTTTGAAAGCTTATGCACGGTAATGTGCGACTGTGAGTCGGTTATTAACTCGCGTCCGTTGACCTACGTTTCTCACGATCCTACTGATTGCGTAGCTTTGACACCAGCTATGTTTTTGCGCGAACAAAATGAACATAGGGTGTTAGATTGTGACGCGGTCGAGGAAGCATCATTCAGCCGTAAGATTCGTTATCTTCAGAAGCTTCGCGAAGACTTAAGACATCGTTTTCGAAACGAGTATTTGGGGACACTAAAGTTGGTTAACCAAAAACGTACAAGTCGTTCGGTTTCGGTGGGAGAAGTAGTTCTGATCGGAAATGACATGAATAAACGTTCCGATTGGCCGTTAGCACGCGTAATGGATATCATTCCCGGTCGCGACGGTAAAATTCGTTTGGCGCGAGTGAATACTGCGAAAGGACAATTATTGCGACCGATTCAGCGATTGTATCCATTGGAAGCTGTATGTTTTGAGGCAACACTCGATTCATCTCCGGGGGAAAGCGACAATACGTCCAAGGATGAAACAGTTCTGAACAAAAGTGATCAAGAGAGTGCGGGAGTGTCTGATGTTAAATCTAACATCAATAGCAGAGTACCCGATCTCAAAGTTAATGTTACACGTAGTGGACGCCGAACGCGTAAACCTGAGCGGTATTTGCCTTAATTTTACTTTTATTTTGTAATGTATTCTAGTTTGTAATTTTGTCTGTATCTAACGTATGTGAGTATCCTAACGTATACTCAGGTGGGAGTGTGTTAGATGCTTATGAGCAATGTATGTAAATTTTGATTTATATCCCTGTATATCACTGCACGAAGTGTCAGAGAGTTTTGTTAAATCAATGTCAGAATTTAATTGTTGTTAGAATGAAGTTTTTAGATTTATTATATTTCTAGACATGACCGGTTTAATTATGTTATGTTAAAACTGTGTGCTAATAAAGAGTTTTGCTTGACATTATTGTCTTAAGAAGAGAACCTGGCCGTCCGGGGAAAACGGGTAGTTTTGTTTGTGGACGGAACAACTAACTTAAAACTAACTTCAGCCCGTGACTAAAAACCTGTTGCTAACTTCAGCCCGTGACTAAAGCGCCATAAAGCCAAGAAAAAACTAACATAAAACTTTAATTAATTATTTTCCTTGGAAATAGCCGTTTTTGTTCGGATATAATGTTGCACTAATATACTATGTAATATTTCGATTTTATTGGTGTAATTAACTAATTTTTAAAAAAAATTGAAGATGGCCGCTTTTGAAAATAGACGACTCATTTAACAGGTCCACGGTCTTATATACAGGTCTTGCAACTTCGCCCAATTTCAATAGGAAAAGTGACCTCTCTAATAGCTGGCCATACACAGGCGTTATTTCGCGCGGTTTATCGTGGCGTGTTGGGATGTAGCGGTTAGTATGCACGAAAGAACGGCATGGCAAAAAAAGCGTCATGTTCCATACACTTGATAAAGTATTCAAATGATTTAGCAAGTGATTGCCCGTGGTATATCAGTTTCAAAGGAAATATCGTATGTGAGTGGGCAAAAAGTGTCATTTATCAAGTCGTTTGAAACTGCATGTGATCATGTACAAATTTTCAACGTGAAATTTTGCCAAGCAAAGGTAAACCGTGACGCGGAATGTGGCGTGTGGACACTCCACACTCCATAGAAAAGCACGTCTGAAATCCCTTCCCGTTCTATCATTGCGCGCGGCGATACTCACTCACGTACATGATTTTCCATATGTTTTTGCAGATAACACGATAAACCGCGCGCAATAACGTCTGTGTATGGCCAGCTAATGAGACACCCACCAGATGGCGCATCGAGTTGAGGGTGAACCATAGATGTTTAAAGGTCGTTTTTACCTTCTTTATCTTTGGGTTTTACAATCGTTAGATAAGCTCTCTGGTGGATAATTTTCTTAGATAGAAGGTTTCTATGAAAGTTATCCGCCAAATAAGCTAACTTAATCTAACGATTGTAAAACCGGCTCTAAGTCCTTAAAGTCTATGGGATAAAGGTCAAATGAACTACCTACTTATGTCCTGTGAAGAAACATAACCTACATTTTTATAAACAAGCTTGTGTATTTTGTTACAGGGAGTTTTTACTTATTGTTATTGTGATATTCGTTATTGTTATATTATATTGTTCTATTTTTTCTTGTTATATTTGTTCTTGTTATACACTTGTATTTGTGCTTTTTAATAGACATGAAGTCCTGTGTTGTGCCAAAATGTAACCAGCAAAGCTATCGTTCCGGCATTAAAATTAAGCGGTCCATGTTTAAAGTGCTAACAAATAAGAAGCGGTTAAAAACATGGCAATGTGCAATAAAAAACATATTATTGACACCTTCACATTTTGTATGATTATTATATAATTAAGCACATCGTGTTGGTGAAATATATATTATTTTAAATAAACAATCAACCCATCCCCGCCAAGACAATAAAAAAATCGGTTATTAATAAATTAGCCAGAATATTGGTTGGTTAGTTTGTTGTGTTACTAGAAATTTTGGTTTTCATATTAGCCAAATTGAATTGGATAGTTTACAAATTATCCAGCTATTCCTAAATAATTTCAAGTAAATTAGCCAAGACCCTTGGTTGGTTTACAAACTAGCCGCTAATTTAGTTAAAAATACGTTTTCAATTAAAATAGCTGACAGTTTGGCTAGTTTATAAACTACCCAGCTACTTAATAAACTATCCATGTTTACACATTAGCCGTAACATATATATGATATACGTATGTATTTTATACATTAACATGTTTGGTCTGGGCATGTGACGGCCGAGGACTTTGTGCATAGAGTATAGACTTTGTTGTCCTATTTTGTTAACGTAAATTATCCGAAACAAACTCACAAATATTAAATTTTTGAAAATGTAAACAAAACATAGAAAAAGAATTTAAAAAGTTAGGTTATGGTTATGCAGTAGTTCCACATTTAACTAAGTAGTAGTTTAATTGACTTTACCCCTTCGATCTTAGCGCCACCTAGCGGCTTGGCACGTTAAGGAAGCCACCTCGAAGCTTAAAGTTGCAAGACCTGTATATAAGACCGTGAACAAGTCACAACTTGACACAGACAACGAAATGAGGTTATGACACAACAATCCGTCAAACAATAATTCTATAAAGATCAGGGCTGCTATCCTCGAGCGCTCGACTTTTATAAACGTATACGACACTGCATTCGAGACGTGTATTTCGTATTCTTGACCGCTCGCAATGGGTACGTATGCGCACCAATTGCGAGTAGTTTACTGCGAGCGGAATTAGGCATTCGTTTTCAAATGTCGCATACTTTTTCGATGTTTCTCTATGACATAAATATTTTTATGACATAAATATTATTTATATATAGTTTAGTGAATCAAAGTTTAGTGAATCAAAGAAAAAATGGAATTAATTTTAATTCATGAGATGGAGAATGTCGAGGAAAGACAACCACGGCGACATAGACACGGACAACGAGGAGACCCTTTTAACGATTTATCCGATAAACTTTTTACTAGACTTTTTCGTCTCTCAAAAGAATTGGCAATGTTTCTCATTAATCTTTTAGAAAATGACTTATCTCATGCTCATCGTGCTACAGATTTAGATGTACAAACAAAGGTAAGTATAATTTTAACAATTGCTTATTTCTACTTAAAAATCAGTTAACAATTTTTAAAGTTGCGTTTTTAAGGTTTTAGTGTGTCTGCGATTCTTTGCGACCGGAAGCTATCAATTAGATATTGGCTGCAATTATAATTTTAATATAGCCCAATCTTCTGTTTCAAGATGTATTGAAGAAGTTGTGAATGCCATTAACAGAGAAGAAATATTTAATAATTTTGTAAAATTTCCAAGAAACGTTCAAGAGCTCAATGCAGTAAGATCTGGGTATTTTATTTTCATATATAGGTATATACTTTTATTGATTTATGGATATTTTTGTAGATTTTTCCAAAAGTACAAGAACGTGGTTACTAACACCAATAGAACAGGAACCAGAACCTAACACACCTGCTCATTTTTATAATTATCGACACCGAACTATAAGAAGTTCTATTGAGCGGTGTAATGGTGTCCTTAAAACGAGATTCCGCTGCCTTTTAAAACACAGAGTTTTGCACTATTCACCTGAAAAGGCAACAAAAATTATCAATGCCTGTGTAGTATTGCACAATTTGTGTATTGATTACAAAATACCTGTACCACAAGATGAAGAGGAGGGCCCACAGGATTTTGGTATTTATGAACCTGCTAATTTACCAGCTAATCTCAATAGAGTTAATCCTGAGTTGGCAGAAGGTAAAAGACAAAGGGACAGAATTATAAGAGCCTTACAACAGTAAAAACACCACCTTAGTGCTATTATTCATAAGAAAAATTTAGTTTAGAAACTCATGTTCATTGATATTCTTAATAAACTTATTTAAATGTAATACTTTTTCACTTTCCCAAGTACTACCACAAGAGTATTCACAACAAATGAGCAAATGACTAATAATGTGTGTTCCTATAATATATTAATACATTTTAAAAAAATATTATTTATATATATAGGTACATAAATACACATTGTTTATTTGAAAAGAAAATAACAATAAAACTGAAATGATCAAAAGTATTGAACAGAATGTGTTATCACACATTCTATGCAATACTTTCAGCTATAGCCTCCAGGGCTGCCGCTATTCGCTCTTTAACTTCCACACTCCTTTCTTTTGCTTCAACTTTCCTTTCCAGCAAGGCTAATTTTTTTTCCTGGTAGGATTTTTTGGCCTCTGCCTTTGATTCCATAGATGCTCTAAAATCAGCAACAGCCTTAAGTGTATGTGAAAGTGCTGTTTTTTTTGGAATTATCAAACTTTCTTTCGATTTTAAAGGTTTTTGAAGAGGAATTGTTAATGTTGGAGGAACAGGGGCAGTTGATGTTGAAGGAACTGGAAGACTTGGCATTGGCAAAACAAATTCATCATTTGACATGTTGAATTCACCATCACCATCACCATCAGACATGTAAAAATTAAATTCAGTGTGGGATTCTTTAGATTGTTGGTGTCCTTCGACAGACACTGCCTTTATCACCTCTAAAACTTCATCCTCCACTAATGTCATGGTTTCTAAGCAAGGAGGGCCACCACCTGTACCTCTTGCATGCTTTTTAATATTCCCAGCTTTATTTTTTGTTCTGGATTTTAAATCCTGCCATGTCTACATAAAATAAATATATTGTTAAATAGCAACATCAATATAAAACTTATTTTACCTTTCGCCAATTCTTCCAGTCCTTTTTTGCCCCTGGAACACTGTTCAAGATCACCGCAATTTTCTCCTATTCTCTCTGGGCGACTTTGTATGTAAAATGATTTGAAAATTTTCCACTTTGCAACGCTTCGTTTTTTTTAATTAATTCGATTAAGGTTTTCTTCTGGTCCTCAGTGGTATATATTTTTTTATTTTCCATCATTTTACATACAAAGAGTACAGTTTTAGACACACAAACAAATTAATAATGTAACAAAATTTTCTTCTAAATTTATATAGGAATTTACTTACTATTTATTAGCAACCCATTTGTCTACATTGCCAACTCTATTTTAACTAATAAAATAGAAATACAAAATAATAGAGAGATAACTTAATCTCTCTGCAATAACACAAAGACAATTTCCATGTCAATTTGACATTCAGCTACTAGCTTTGACATTGTCAAAGGTGGTAGCTACCACTACATTAAACGTAAATAAACTAACACATGCGGTGCTGCCAGATGAACCACTCGTTTAATTTTGTCGTGTACGTTTTCAATCGCGAAGATTTGTCGAGGATACAATTTTTTAAAACCATTCGCAAATGAATCGCTCGACTTCATGTCGTATACGTACATTGCGAATGATGTCGAGGATCGCAAGCCAGGGCAATCTTGGTTTAGTACCCCACCCAAAGTTATCCCTTGTCTATGCTTATGTATCTCCAGGGCCGGCTCCAGGGTACGTGCAGCCGTGCCCCTGCACGAGGCGGCAAAATTCGAAGGGCGGCAAAAATCGAAAGGTGGCAAAAAGTTATTCAATACAATACTATATAGGTTCTAAATTAGATATTTCCAGTTTAATTTTAATTTAAACAGACTTTTCTTGTTTTTACTACTGGTCAGTTTTATAATGTTAGATAAAATAATTATTATTAGAATATATTACTGGTTTTTTAAAAAGCGATGATATTTTATTTATTTGTTATTAAATAATCATTTTTTAAACTTTTTTGTTAATTTTATCTTCCCCTTAATGCTACAACTGGATAACTCGAAATTTTATGAATCCAGTTCTACTAAATACTTACATACCAATTTTAGAATATTTTATTTACAAATGTGTTTTTTCAGATATCCAATTGTAGCATCAAGGTAGTTTTTTTTTTAGAAATTGTACCTAATTAATGGGCACTAAAAAGTAGGTAACTATGAGGGGCGGCAAAAATATTTTTGCACGGGGTACCAAAATGTCTGGAGCCGGGCCTGTGTATCTCGCCTTGAAAATTTGATTTTAAACAAAATAATGCCCAAGTTTTTTTTTTACGTAAAACGATTATACCACAATGAACTTTAAATTCCAATCTTATTTGTTTGCTATTACACATAAAACTTACTTTAAAAATCAAATTTATTTAGCAGCAGATCACGATCACGAGATCTGATGATTTTATTTTGGATTTTAGAACATGCAGAACTTTTTATTAAGTAATAACTTTTCTTCGTAAAACTAATAATAAGAAAGTTTTTCATATGCTTTCAACTTAAGTAGACACACTGTATATCGGCCAAAAAAATATCGGTATCGGCCGATTATCGTTATCGGCCCAACAAAGCATATCTGTTGAACACTAATAATCAAACATTTTTCAGGAGGAGGACATTAAATTAAACGGCGAAGAACTGGGTAAGAAGCTGGAAAAACTGGTGAAAACGTCCGAGATGCAGCTCCAGGCCTTGAACACGGCGAGTCATCAGCTGCGCGCCACGTGCTTCGGTCAAGATCGCTATTGGCGTCGCTATTGGTCGATGCCCAAGGCAGGCGGGATCTTCGTCGAGGCGATGGAATCGGCCGATCCGGACGAGCTCGAGAATCAAATTAGGTCTGACGAGGTTGCCTCTAATGGCGCCGTTAAAAGTTTGAATGACGTGAATGATATCGTTGACAGCCAAGAGAAGGTGTGCGACGCCGATAACGATCGCGAAGTTAGCGACATTGTGGCCGCTAGCGAGGCGAACGGCGAGACTACGCAGGTGAAGATGGAGACGGACGCCAACGACAACGAGCACAGGAAGACTCCGAACAGGTTAGCCGAGTTCGGTAACGGAGAAAACGTGGTGGACAACGGCGAGAAAAACTTGGCGGAGCTGCAGAAGAGCGTTGACGACATAGTACAAAACTTGGAGAAGACCATTGACCTGGAGAAGCAGGCGGTATTGGAGGCCAAAGTGAAGGAAGAATCTCAACTGGACGCAAATCCAACGAATCTCACCAATCACGTGGTAAAAGAAGAGGAGCAAAACGATAAGATGGAAGTCGAAACCGTGAAAACCGAACCGGAAACGGAAGACACCTTCGCCAATAAGAAGTTCAACTTGTTTGAAAGATTGGGGCAGTGCATGGAGCGCGAGAACAAAACCGAAGAGGATCTCAAGCAGGATGTCAAGGCGGAGGTCAAAGAAGAACTCAAGAACGAGATTCTTAACGAACTTAAATCGGAGATTAAGGCAGAAATTAAAGCCGAAGTTAAAGCTGAATCGGAGGAAGAGAAACCTGAAAACGAAAATAAGTGGTTTAGCATCATACACAAAGATGGATCTACGTGTGATGGTATACAACTTACAGCAGGTAATTTTGTTTAATAATCATACAAATGTATCCACATAACACGAAAATATATTTAAAATATTGAATAAATATTTTTGCCAAATGAACTTAATATTTTAGAAATATTAGTCATTATCTTTTAAATGCCTCAAAAATGTTTTTACAACATTTAGATGTCCCATTTTTTACATTTTAAAACATTTTTGTAAATGTTTTAGATACATTATAGTAATAATAATACATTATAGTAATAATAATAATAATGATTATACCTTATATTTTATTAATGTTTCCTCAACATCACAAAAATATCTGGATATATTTTCAAAATATTTACAGTTCATTGCATATTTGTTATAAAAATGTTGTTGTAAATGTTCATAAAATGTTGCTTTTACATTTATAAAAGCCAATACTGAATTTTCTTATTTTTGAGTGCTAAAAGTAGATGTGGGTTTTAAAATTTCCGGAAAAATTGAGCCGGCGGAAAAAAATCTATAAAAACGGAAAAATTAGGAATTTAACTTTTGCACTTTTTTATTTTATTTAAAGGGTACTTTATACAAAAAAAATTAAAAGGACAATTTTTCCGAATTTTCGACTCTGATTATATTATAATTCCTTTTGTTCTTCTATAATACATGATTATAATAATTATTTCTATTATAATTCAGTAAGAATCTTACCGGGTCGCAAAAAAAAGGAGTTCGGTGCTGTATTAACATAACTATCGTTTTATTCGACACATCGATTTATAAATTTATAGTTTTGTAATTTAAATTCAAAAATCATTCATTATTTTGTAAATGGATTTTCAATGGACTCCCTTTTTCAAAAAGGAAAGTTGTTGATGGCTTTGTATAGTTTCAGAAAAAAATCAATTTTTTCCAAAAAAGACAATTTTTCCAAGGCATGGGAAAATTACGGAAAAAAACAGTATTTTTCCCAATTTTTCCGTTTTTTTCGACACTTTTAAACCCTATATCAGATACAGTATATATCTGATATGAGTAGTAAATGATTATATCATATACTAAAACAGTGAAATACCATAGTTGGAGATATATTTTTTTGCACGCTAAAACTACAATACAGTACACGTTTTAATAAAAAATATTAAAAAAAAAGAAATTTATTTTAGAAATAATCAATATAAATAAAAGTAAAATATGTAAAACAAAAATTCTTTGGAAAAAATCACATAAATAAAACAATATTTTCTTTCGACAGTCTTGGTTTTTCTTTTTAAAATTCTTTTTTACTTTCTTTTTTTAAATTTAGCTTGAGTCAGCCATTGTCGCAGTTTTGGTTTTCGGAATTTTCCGATGGGGGCTAAAAAGAATTTAATTTAAATTAAACTCTTCGTTTCAATTCAGCTCAGGGAAATTACTTTGTTTTTAAAATTAAAAAACAATAATATTTTTGGTTTCCTACGCGATTTTATTAGGTTTATGTTTGTTTTTTGTTAGGTAATAGAATAATCGTCTTCAATAGGGTGGAAATAAAATTTTAAGGTACCGCCGCGGTTCAGTACACTGCCATTCATTAATAGCGATAATAATTAAACAATAAAAATAAATAAAATACATACCTTTACCAGGAAGGATTATTTGAATAATTTATTATTTTAATAATTTTAATAACTTGAAACACTTGAAACACACTCAACAAAGTAAAAAGCGGCCGAGCCTCAGACAATAGATACATTTTTATCGAGAGGGCGCTTATCAGAAAACTTTAATTGAACTTTTTAAAAAGTTTATAAATATTGTTAAATAACTTAACAATATTTAAAAAATAATATTTATATAAAATTGCGAAATTAATATTGAAAAATATTTACGTGATATTTATGAAAAATATGAAAAATATTTGCGCGTTACAGTTTGTACAACATTTCATCAACCTATTATTTATTAATTCTCCAAACGGCCTGACAACATTTTTAAAGCATATTGTGTTATGTGGGTAAAGAAAATAATGTGATTTGTTTTCTAGGAAATAAGTGGGAGAATGGCGGCGTTGGTGCCTGCACAAGAGACATAACAGAACTAAAAATACCAGTCTTCCCTCCTCCAGGTTCCAACTCGTCCGCCTACAACCACAACTGCGACAGTCCCGCCCCCTTGCAGATAACTCCCGAAGAAAACGTCCAGCTGGAGCTCATCAAGAAGAACGGCATGCCGGCCGCGTGTCCCAAAAGGTCCGTCCCGATCGACAAGAGGTACGGTTGGTGGAGGATTCTGGAAACCTCCCAGCTGAAGGAGGTTTTGGACAACTTGCACGTGAGAGGCGTCCGCGAGCGAGAAATGAAGCGCGGCTTCATCACGATCATGCAAGCGATGTACGAGGGCCAAGGAAAAATACAAATCGAGGAGGGCAACAAGGAGCTGTGCGAGTTTTCGGGCGAGAACTTGGACGAAATCGAGTACGTCGAGGGTAACGCGCCGAAACCCGACGTTCGTCTCGCTTGGAGCACTGCGGTGGCTCACAGAGTGGACTTGTTCTTGCTCGAACAAGTCGAGGCTCTCGAGGATAAAGTTGCCAACGCGAGCATGCAGGTTAAAGGCTGGAAAATACCGACAAGGGACGAGCAAGACGTCGCTTTTGGCGAAGTAGTGGGCATCGTTAAGGAGAGGTTGTCCTCTTTGGAAGTCAACATCGAACGGCGTTACCTAAAACCTCCGCTTGGAGTCAAGTAAGTTACCTTCATTTTATTAATTTATATTTTTAAATAATTTATTTATTTATTATTTAACTTCAAAGCAAATCTGCAGCATTTTAAGTAAAATAGTCGAACTTCGCCAATTTATTACTTAATTTAAGTAATGTGCTTAAATTAACCATAAAACACTGCCATTTAAGTAAAAAGTCTTGTTGAGTAATAAAAGTTTTGTATTATTATACATTTAATGATGTTTATTTAACGTAATTTTTACGTGACAAAATTAATTACAGGTTAACGTAAATATGTAGTATTTAATTTGTTTTTATTGCCTTATTCTTTTGGTAGCTTGAATATTTATTATTTTTACCACTCAATGGGTCGCGACCAAAAAGTTCCTTCTTTTTCAAAACGACATAACTTTTTTGTTTCTTGAACGATTTTATTTTGGTATGTGATGTCTGCTAGCCTCATCCTCTGGAAATTCATGCTTTAGATGTGAAGCTGACGGTTCGTCAAGTAAATTTCCTACAGGGTGATATGTTAAACGGTGAAAAATGTTAATAACTTCATCCAAGCCCCGTTTGAAAAAAGAAATATTTTTTCTCGTTTTTATTTTGAAATAATTAAGTATTATGTGTTACCTTGAAACGTTTTTAAAATTTTTCCAATTGGAATTTTAGCAACGACAATATGATTCTTTTTCGGATTTTATTAAGACATTTAACAGCCGGGAATTGTTTTCGAATTTTGATTCTAGGAGATTTTGGTTTTATCTGAAACTTAAATTTGACAACTGAATCACAATCAGGAGGTCAAAATTATAAAAAAAACATGTCACGAACGTAAAAATCAGTTCAGGTTTAGTTTTTGCAAATTTTCACCATTTTGAAAAAGTGGTTTTTACTTAGGCCCCTCTGAAAATAATGGAAGTTTGTTGCTTGTCGCTTGTTCAGAATTATTCAAGGAACAATCTTTCACCATCTTATTTTCTTGTTCTTAAAAAGACTGAGTGTATTGCCTACCAAAAAGACTTAAATGTACTCTTTTGTAAAAAAAATCATATTTTCGTTGCTAAGATTCCAATTCGAAAAATTTGAAAACCTTTTTAAGATAAGACATAATATTTTATTATTTCAAAGTAAAAACGAGAAGAAATATTTCTTTTTTCAAATGGGGCTTGGATGAAGTTATTGAAATTTTTCACCGTTTTACATATCACCCTGTAGGAAATTTACTTGAAGAACCGTGGGCTTAATATATATAGCATGAATTGCCAGAGGATGGGGTTAGCAGACATTACAGACCAAAATAAAATCGTTCAAGAAACAAAAAAGTTATGCCGTTTTGAAAAAGGACGAACTTTTTGGTCGCGACACATTGAGTGGTGAGCAGTTTATAAGGTCAGTAACTATAAATTATTTAATAATACTTTTAAAAATCAGTTATTTATATTTTATAATAATTTTTTATGGCGTTTCACACGACACTACCTTGCATGTTGCTAGTAGGTTCATACTGAATTTCATACATTATAAATGTCTGGGCCATAGAAAGGCTCATTTATGGATGTTGTGGCTTCATCATCATCAACTCCAGGCGCTTAGCCTTGTCCGATTTTTTGGTATAGCTTTATCAATCCTTTAATAATTTCTGCAGCATTATAATTTTAAAAGCTAGTATTAGAAAGAAAAATAAAAAAACGTGTTTTTTGTACTACACTGAGAAAACAGTTTATTTTTTATAAAGCAGTTTTATTTATATTTAATAAATGCTTTATTGCATATATATAGTGTTAATAAACATCCCATTTAAATGTAATAAAGCGTTGGTTTTTGTATGTTTCTTAATAAATAATATATTTATTTTTTACTATGATCTTAAAATATTAATAATTAAAATTAAAAGTAAAAAATTTATTTATTTAAAACAAATTTATATTGCATAAAAATAAAACGTTTGTTAATAATAAACAAATTTAAAGCAATAAAAATTGAATAAAATTTTAAATAATAAAAAATGTTTCAATATTTATAATATATAGTTGTTCTTCTAAATACGCCAATGTTATTTGTGTTTCCTGTCTTTAAGATCGGTCATTTGATTTTGTACAAAATGACTATTCAATGACATGACTTAAAGTTGGTTCGTTTAAAGTGTCGATATTGCTAATTAACGTTTGGAGTATGGACGACACTGGTTGGCCATCCTCATGTATTGTAAACAGCAGGTTGATAGGAATCTTCTGTTAAAAAAACAACTGACGCTTCTTCTATTCTAAAATAAAAAATTTTGTATAAACAAAAAAACATATATAGCAAAGATCTCTTTAACTAAGAATATCACAACAGAATGTAATCATTGCAATGATGCATTAAAAATCACATTTTAGTTTCTACTTTAGAAGTTTGAACCTGATGGTAAATATTCCGTCATAAAGCTTTTCATTTATTAAAATCATTGTTAACATTTTAAAGAAGAAAAAAACTGTTATAAATTACCTTTACAATTGGACACAACATCACTTAAACCGAGATCGATAAGAAAGTCCTTTAAATCCATTTTTTACAGGTACTTCACTACTTCACAACATAAAACTAAAACTGATGATGCTTACGCGAGGGCGCGAAATAAGTAAATAACGTATTTTAGGGCATATTTAGCAAATTATGCAAAATATATTTATTAATAAAAAAATGATTTATTATTTTTTACTTAACACAGCTTTATTGTAAACAAAACTTGTAACATTTAATAAAGAAAACATATTCAACAATAAACATGTATTTCTTACAAATGCATTATTTATTAATTAAAATTGGATCATTTGTTTTATGGAAGATTGACAAAATATATTTATTTATTAAAAAATATTATTTATTTTTAATTAATAGATATATCCTATGTTTTAAATGTATTAATCCGTTTGGTTTTTATAAAGAAATATTTATTTCTTTTAAGCAAACTCAATAAAACAATTGGCATATTAAATAAAAATATATTAATTTTGCCGTATTGAAATAATAAACAAATATTTGTTATTCAGAAACAATATTTTTTAATTATAACTGAAAACTACCAAATATATGATTTGTTTATTACAATAGTATGATTTCTCTCAGTGTAAAAAGGTCTTAATTAAACAATTTCCTTTTCAGCACCGGCGATCCTAACCTGGCGGCGATCGCGCACGAGGCCAGCAGCGGCTGCTCGGGCACGTCGACTAGCGCCAACAGCCACCCGACGGCGCCCCTCAACCCGGACGACGTCCCCAAAGGCTTGGCGGTGTGGCGCGAGGCCGTGCACCGTTGCCAGACGTCTGCGCAGCTCGCCATGTGCCTCTACTCGCTCGAGTCGTCCATCGCATGGGACAAGAGCATTATGAAAGCTGTGAGCTTCACTAATGTCTTTAATAAACAGAAAGCCCGCAAATATAACAGCAAGCTCAGTGTGGGTGCTTGTGCTTCTCTTTTCCTTTTTGTTTAACTCACACCTTTTTACTTTTTATCACTTATCATTTTATAATACGCATGTTTTACACCAAATACTTCACCTTGTCAAACAAAGTCAATAGTGCCTGTTTTAGTTCACAATTTTATTTATTTTTTATTTAACTTTTTCCTTACAAAAAGCCACACTTGCATGACATTTAATCATTCACTAAATTAACACAGGTCAATTATATTTCTTAACAAATGTTTAATAATAATCCTAATCTGTCAATCAAAATAAAGCTTTGCATAAATACTTACATTTCTCAACAACTTTTGGATTAAGGAATATTATTTGATTTCATTGTTAAGTCATGTGGACTGTAGACCTGTGTTATTTAAAAAAAGATTAACTTGGGACTTACTTCCATCAAAAATATAAATCCTTTAGATCTTATAATGACTTTATTATTAGTGGCTGCTAAAAACTAACCATAGTTAATTTAAAAAACTAAACAATCATAAACACTAATCATTTATGAAATTAAATGTTTTATTAGTTTGTGTATCAAGAAACAAACCAATGAAGCATTTTAAATCGAATTTCTTATTGTGAATATCTTGTTTCAGAACTGCCAATTTTGCCATAGCGGTGATAACGAAGACAAACTACTACTTTGTGATAGTTGTGATAGGGGATATCACACTTACTGTTTTAAACCTAAGATGGACAACATTCCTGAAGGGGATTGGTAAGTTATTAACTTATTTTGCCATCATTATGATATCTCATTAAATATAAAATTTGTAGATTTTGCAACACCCAGTATAACTTAAAACTGTAATTTTTTTAATTTTAATATTTCATTAACGTAGAAATCTCAAAAGCGATAAAAACATTACTTGTACCCTTTTTGCAATCATCAATTCATTTAAGGTAGTTGACCTTTCAGTTTAGGATAAGAATTAAGAAAAACTTTCTATTAACCAGTTTTCAAAAACACAATGTTTCTGAAATGGTGAATCAATTTTTTTTAAGTAATAAAAATATAATTTTTTTTTAATATCTGAAAAAAACTAAAAATAATAACAATTAAACCAACTTTGTGATAAAAATGTTTTATTTTTATTGTTATTTTTCATTTGTACACACTAGTTTCAGAAGTGTGAGAAAAATTTGGTTTTTTTTCAAAAACGAAGAGAGATGCGATTAAGAGTAAAGAGGTCAGAAAGAAATTAAACATAATTTTAAATCCATTGAATTAAGATTTCAATTGGTTTTAATCGACGTTCGATTTCGTTAATTTCAATTGTTGTTTACAATGTTATGCCTTTTTATTAATATACTAGGTCTATACCCGCAGCTTCGCTCGTGTGGTTATAAATAATAATAATGGACAATGTTTTTTCAGCAACTGTCATTTTGACTGCTGCCATTTAGGTACATTCCTCATTTTGGCTTATGTCATATTGGCGCCATGTTATTTTGACACCTGAAAATGAATCCCCTTTTTATTAATTTACTAGCTGCAAACCAGCGGCTTCGTTCTCGTTATTTTAAGGAAAAATAACGAACAATTTTTTTTTGGCATCTGCTATTTTGACAGCTGTCATTAAGGCACCTGTCATTTTAACAACGGCCATTTTGACACCTGTCATTTTGGCAGCTGTCATTTTGACGGCTGTTATTTTGGCCAGAAATTGACGAAATCGAATAAAATCGATTGAAATCTTAGTTCAATAATTTTATAATTATTTTCCAATTTAGCCCAATTGAAAATGAAATCGATTATACCGATTGAATTCTTAGTTCAATAGTTTTAAAATTATTTTCCAATAAGACTTATAGTGTAATTAAATAAGCTTAATTAAAATTTTAAAAAATGCTATCCTGATTAAAATTTCAACTTAATTTCAGTCCAATTCAGACCGATTAAAACAAAAAAATTAGTTGTGATTTAAAATAATTAAAATATTTATTTTCTATTACAATTTCCGATTCAATATAATTGTAAACGAATCATACCAATATCATAATACAATTTAAAATAATTAAAAATTATTGATATTTTCAAAATATTAAATTGTACAGGTGTCAATCGGTTATTTTAATCTATTTTTCTTCTTCTTTTGTTTAGGTATTGTTATGAGTGCGTAAACAAAGCGACAGGCGACAAGAACTGCATAGTTTGCGGAAAAAAAGTATCGCAATCCGGTACGAAGTTGATAGTGTGCGAGCTATGTCCGCGCGCCTATCACACCGACTGCATTCAGCCGGCGATGGGCAAAGCGCCGAGAGGCAAGTGGTATTGCTCGAATTGCATATCGAAGAAACCACAGAAGAAACCCGTCAAGAAAACTCACAAGAACCACAATCGGGAGAGCGAGTCCTCCGAAAATCCACCACCATCTAGGTAAGTTATTTTTTTAGTTATATTTAGTCGTTTTTAAATGCGCATTATTACATTCATTTAAGTGGCGTATAATAGGAGTGAAAGATTTTGCAGCAATAATCATAATTTTTTATGTATTTTTAGGAAACAAAAAAATTATCTAATAATGCAATATAAAAATGTAGTTTTTACAGTATTCCATACATTTTTTTTAAATAATATAGTGTTATACTTAAATTACGTAATTTATATTCTGCTACGTGAGCTTTAAGTATTTGTAAGGAGCACTTTGGGCCCCTAAGATTTACTATGCTGTAAAACCATTCAAAATGTTAGTCCTAAATTAGGACTAAATCTTCTAATGTATTATACTATAATAGTACACATATACTGGGGTTTAAAAGTATCGAAAAAAAAACAAGAAAATTGGGGAACAACTGTTTTTTTTTTGATTTTTTGTTGAGAATTTCAATAATAGTAGCATTAACAACTTAACATTATTTTAATTTAAAAAAATAAACTTAATTACAGATAAAAAAAACAAATAAAACTACTCTCTAAAAATGAATTAGTCAAAAATAACTACTTTTCAAAGTGAATAACTGTAGTCCACAGCAATTTGATCCCGGACATTTAACAGCCAATTATTATGTAAAATAGTTTTTAAGATATAGTCATCTCCGTATTATATGGAAAATTGACTATCTCAAAAACTGTTCTACTTTTATAACTTTTGACGACATTTTCGGATTCAGCGGACAATTTCAAATAGGAATTGACTGCTAAATGTCCGGGATACAAAATGCTGTGGGTGCTTTTTTGCTATGCACAATAAGTCATTTTTGACCAACTAATTTTTAGAGAGTGAACAATGAATTAAATTTAATTGTTTAAAGAAAATGAACGTAAAAGTACTGTCGCGACATGTCGGTTTGAACCTTTTTGCAAAATGGAGTTCATCGAAAATATCCATTAACAAATTAATGAATGATTTATTATAAAGGTAATATACAAAATTTTAATTTAGTAAAGCTATGTGTCAATGACAATTATGTTAATGGCTCACCAAATGCTTTTTTTGCGGCCTAGAATATTCTTAACGAATTAAAATAGTAGGAATATTTATTATAATCATAATATAATAATAAAAAATTATCATTATTATCTGATTTGGAAACACATTTTTCTTGATACCAGTGTACAGATATTAGCCGAAAAAATTTAATTTTTTTTAGAAAAATTGACTTGCAATTTTTGAATAAAATGAAAAATCTGTTTTTTCTGAAAATTTCCTAATTTTTCCTTTTTTTTCCGCCTCTCAATATACATATCCACATCAAAAAGTTCCACCTTGACATTTGAACACAAATATTTTTGTGACAATATTTGTGTTCTAAATTAAGACCTTTATAAACGAAAATTGTATTATTTTCAGAAAATTAGACGAAATTAACGTTAAACTGAGAAAAATTGGGACTTTTTTATGTGGAGAATTGTACATGCTAATTAAAATACATAATTTCAATTATTTTTACGAAACCATGGTAACAAGTGAAAGTTGAAAAACCCCAAAACAAGTCCAAAAACGAAAAAATTAATCTTAAAAAGTTTAGGCAACGAAAATATTAATGTTTAATTTATTCATATTTTGTTCTTAAAAATTGCATTTTAGAAGCTAAAATTTTAATTTTTAGCTAAAATATTCAATATTACTCAAAATGCCATTTTCAATTTAATTTAGTCCGGCGCCGTCGCATAGCTCCGTGACGACCAACGAAGACCAAACGACGCCAAATTGCAGCCAAAACGACATCTCGAACAGCTTCGCGAGCGTGGGTTCGCCGTGCGCCGCGCAATCGGCTGCCGCTGCGGCTGCAGCTGCGCAGAATGCGGCGCTCGCGGCCGCAGCTGCCGCCGCCAAGAAGGAGCGCGCCACGAAGAAGCTGCAGAAGGAGTTGGCGCCGTGCAAGGCCATCCTCGAGGACCTGGAGTGCCACGACGACGCGTGGCCGTTTTTGCTGCCAGTCAATACTAAACAGTTTCCTACTTACAAGAAGATTATCAAGATTCCTATGGATTTGTCGACGATTAAAAAGCGAATACAGGACTTGACGTAAGTGTATTAATGTTATATTCTTTAATTTTAGTAATTATTAAAATAGTCAATTTCTTCTCACAAAAATACATTTTATGATATCAAAAGATAAAACACATTTTTACCAAAAAAATAAAATTATGATACTTAATATTTTTCAAAAAGTCGTTTTTGTAAAAAATAATAATTTATAACACATTAGAATCATTTTAAAGATTTTTTTTTAATTTAATTTTTCCTAAAAAGTGTTTTTAACGAGATTCTATTTATAAAATAGGTTCCTAAACGTGTTTTTGTAAAAATAAATCAACTATTTTACAAATATAATCATCTTTATTAGTAATTTAGGTTTTATTGCAAATATAAATCTTAAATCCCCAAGCAGTCGATTTTTTGTAAAAAAATATTAATTTTTTAACAAGTTATTTCAAATATCTTTTAACCATAACTTTTTAAATTAAATTTTATTGTAAAAACCGTTTTTTATTGCGATTATATTTATAAGAATGCGATTTTGTGAGAACATATTAATTTACAAAATTATAATTAAAATTGAGGGGTCCAGTGCCAGAACTAGGTATCTTCAAAATAGCGTTTTAAAGCATCAAAAAAGGATGAAAAAATTTAAATTTTTTAATAAAAGGAGCATTTTTCATGTTATTTATGAATAAATGCTTTAATTTAATACATTTTTGGATCAGTTTTTAAGTGTTTTTTAAATATTTAAGGTAACTTAACTTCAAACTTAACTTTATACAAACAGAATTGTGAAATTTGCAGCAAAATTGAATTGCATTTTTTCCGAATTATCCTTAGTATCCGCCGTACGAATAACGAGAATAAATGTTGATAATACTAAAAAATGCAAATTTTCCAATTTTTCAGTAAATTTTAAAAAACTACTTCAAAAAATACAATTGTACAGGAGGATCCTATAAAATTAATGTAATGGTTTGAACATAATTTTACTCAGCATAGAGTTTGTTGATAGCAGCCAGAAGTAAATATAAAATTTTAAAAAAATATATTAATTTTCGACTGAAGGACTACGGTCAATAGCCTTTGAACTTGGTTTTAGTTGAATAAAGCATTATTATTATTAATATTAATTTAGTGAAGGCGACTCTATAGAAGAGCGTTTTTCTTGCCTACTGTGAAATTTAATATAATATAATATTTAATATTTAAAGGTACCTGGTTCTTGCTTTGGACTTTTCAAATGCATTGGTTTTTTTGCAAAAATAAGTTTTAAATCCAAAAAAGTGTTTTTTTATTTTTTTGCCATAACTTTTTTAATTTAAATTTTATGGTAAAAATGCGTGAATATAAAATTAAAAAAATATTAATTTATTGAAGGAGAGCTTTTTCCTTCCTACGAAATATATATTTGGAAAATAATAATTTTATTCGGCCTGATAACGGAATTAAATTGCTGTAAACTTTCTTTAGCACAGTATTTTCCTATTAAATCGCTTATGCGACCCAGTATGTACTATTAGACTAGGCCAAAAAAATCAACTATTTTTTTTTAAATTATATCGAAAATATGGTTTGGGGTGACAAAGAAAAATTATTGTGAAAGTTTGAGTCCATAATATTAATATTAAGAGGTCTATCATCGCAATTTTAATTTTTTTTCCTCAGCAAGTTTTTGTCTCAGAACTCCCAAACCATTGAGTTTAACAAAATTGACTCAAAAATATTTTTTAAAGAAAATTAAATGCTCTACAAAAAAGGTTAAGGAGAAATTTTCCGTCAGATGAACCGTTTCCTTAAAATCATGCCTTAAAAATTGGTATAGTTTTACATTTTGATCTTTTAAATTGGAATTTTGTAAATCATGTAAAAATCAGTACCCATAAAACACCGATAAATATTCTTATGGGAAATCAAATGCAAAAAAGCCTCTCAACATTTTTGGCTAAATTCACTCAATCAAAAGATATTCAAGGTTAAAATTTCGTTTTGACTTCAAATTTAACCATGAATAACTTTTGATGGAGTGAATTTAGCCAAAAATGACAAAAGACTTTTTGTAGAGCATTTGATTTCCCATAAGAATATTTATCGGTTTTTTTCAGGGTACTGAATTACAAAATTCCAAAGATCAACTTGTAAAACTATACCAATTTTTAAGGCATGATTATAAGAAAAGGGTTCATCTGACGGAAAATTCCAATCAAACCTTTTTTGTAGAGCATTAAATTTTCTTCAAAAAATATTCTTAAGTCAATTTTGTTAAACTCAATGATTTGGGAGTTCTGAGACAAAAACTCGCTCAGGAAAAAAAAATCTGAATCGATGATAGACCTCTTAATATTAATATTATGAACTTTCACCATAATTTTTTTTTGTCATCCCAAACAATATTTTCGATATACTTTACAAAAAAAATAGTAGATTTTTTTGGCCCAGTCTAATGTACTATGCACAAACATATAGAGAAATTTCTCTATATATATACTCACTGCCAAAGTCCCACTTTGACATTTGAATACAAATTATTGAGGTTTAACGCTATTTCATCTTATTTTCCAAAGAAAATTTGTGAATGAGTCTAATAAATTAATCAGGGATTATATATAAATTTGATTAAGAGAACAATAACATATACAGACGAATCTTTTTTTGGGTTTTCCTAAAACACAATAGTAATTTCCGTTCTTAAATTTGAAAAAACTTAGGGGTCCATATTCTTCAACATTAATGACTTGTTTCAGATATAAATCCAAAGAGGAATTCTGCGCAGACGTGAGGCAGATTTTTAACAATTGCGAGACGTTCAATGAAGACGACAGCCCGGTGGGCAAAGCAGGTCACTGTATGCGCCAATTTTTCGAAGCCCGGTGGAACGAACTGTGCTTGAACCACAGTTGAGGTTTGCTTTATCCCAAAAGACCTTAGAAACGGCGCAACAAGTATCCGGAAACCAGTGTCTGAGTTGTATGTGGAGTTGGCAATGCAATCACTGGTTATGGTGGTGTCGTAGACAACCAAATAGGAAAATTTGTATTTTAAACCGTCCTAATCATTGATTGCATTGCTCAGGTGTTTATCTGATAAAGACTGATAACAAAAAGTGCACCCACAAAGTGTTAATTTTAAATGGTGTTGTGAAATGGCAGCCGAACTCTGTTAAATTTTATAGACTGATTATAGCACTAAATAATTATAAATTGTTGAACGATTACAGGTATTTTTCCCAGTGCGTGATATACTGACATTAATAATGTATACTTCAGCTTTTTTATTATGTTATTAGAGAAATATGAGGATTTACAGTAATAAAGCGAATTTTTATATTAAATGCTATTTAAAGGCTTGACGCTTCCTATTATTTTACAAAGTGATAGGCAATTTCATGATTGCTTTTGTGAGTTTCTATTTTTTTGGTTTTATGTAACTCATCTTTTTAAGGTTATTCATTATTTTAATAAATATGTTGAAACCGCATATTTCATTAAATTTTAAATTATTTGTTTTAATGAATTTTTGTACGGTGTAATATTTTTGTCTATATGTATAAAAATAAGTGATAATTTAACATGATTACTTACAAAAAATAAATAAATCTAGTTACATCACTTAATTAACTTAAAAAGTCTTTTTTACAAAAATTCTTCATTTGTATTAAAGTTTGTATTTTTGATAATATGTATTTTTATATATTATTTAAACTATTTATTTAGGTAAGGTAAGCTTGTGTTGATAAAATTGCTTTGTCTTTGTCTTTATTTATTCACAGAAATTGAATTTTGTGTGTCATTCTAAAATTAATTTATTTTGTTGCATTTAACCGGTAAATTTGTAAAAAATGTAAAAAAAAATATTCACATCGCTCAACCTAAATTTTAACGAAATTCTTGTCTCTAGGCTACAAAAAGATGTTTTTATGTAAGCTGAACATAGATTCTGACAACTAAAAATGTATTAAAAATAATGAATGTGTTTCAGTAGACTAGTTCGTTGCAATATCTTGCAATTTAGAACTAGATTATGTGTAAGATATTTATAATAATTATATTTACTTATAAATGTCAATTATTTTTTATTTATAACCACCTTGCAATACATAATTTGTATTTAATATTTAATAGGTAAAAATGCACTGCTGATAAACAGTTTCAGCCCTAAAATTTCTATTAGACAACAGGTGGTATAAACACATTGCCAGTATTGCCAAACAAATTTCATACAATTTCCCAACTAAAAAAACAAAATACCCAATTGTACCAGCATTTTTCCTTTTTGAAAATTAAATTTTGAATTAATCAAAAAGAATGGTAAGTGGATAGAATAAAATATATATGAAATTTATTAAATAGGTAGGTATACAATATTATTTATAAATTCCTTTAGTTGGTATTTTAATCAAAATTTCCAAAATACCTGATTTTTGGGGTAAAATACCTGCAAACGGCAACACTGCACGTTTCCCAAAACTTTATAACCTCACTTTTTTGTTTTGATTTTCTTGTCAAAAGTAAAATTTTACTAAAAATGAAGTGTATTTTATTGCAAGGTGCACCAGGTAAATATAAATATAAACTACGTAAAAACCTTAAATAAAAGGTTATTATTAAGGAATCGGAAAAACTACGTTAATAAAAAAAGTCGTTGAAAATATTAATAAATCTGGAATTACTGCTGATGGATTTTTTACTGAAGAAGTTAAAGTAGGACGGGGTAGAATTGGCTTTGATATAGTAACTTTAAAAAATGAACGAGGCATATTAGCAAGGAAAGGGTAAATTTAAAAGTTGAATAAAATAGGTAAAATTTTTTACATTGAAATTATTTCAGATCTCCAAATAATTCTGCAATAAAACTTCCCCAAGTGGGTCAGTACACTGTATATTTAAATGATTTTGAAAAATTAGCTTTGCCAGTTTTCAACAATGTAAGTTTAGGTATGGGTAACATAAAAAAAGTTTCATAAGAAAGAGTTGAGAATGTATTATCTCCATAACATCCACTTAAGTCGGACAAATACCACTCTTATTAAAAAATTCCCTTAACAAAACAATTTTTGGTGCAAATAATAAAAAATCCAAAAAAGGGACCTGCATCCAAAATCAAGCTTTACAGGAGAAGCGATTACAGTTCACCCAGTTACAATCTCAAAAATCAGTTTTTGGACACTAGGTCCCTTTTCTTGGATCACGTCACATTAAAAAAAACTAAGTTACTATGCTATACACCCAAGACATTTGAATATAAATAATTGAGGTTATCTATATGTCAGTTTCATGATATACGTGCTTGGCGTATGCCTTGTAAATATATTAAATAAATTCTAACCTTAGTTATTGCTGGCCAACAAAACCAGCAAAAACTTTACAAAAAAGTAGTAAAATACCATATGCATAACGTTTAAATCTTTTTCTCCCGTGACGTCACTCGTGGATCTTTCGATTCATAACCAGAATACCGGTGTTTGTGTATCTTGGTCAGTTTAACGCCAATTTCATCTTATTTTTTGAAAATATTACAATATGTTTTTTATGTATAAAGGTATTAATTTATAACTCAAAATATAAATATATTGTAATATTTTTAAACGAAATTAGCGTTAAACCGACAAATAGATAACCTCAATTATTTATATTCAAGTGTCAAGTTCAGACTTTTGGATGTGGAGGGTATACTATAGTACAAGATAAAAAGTTCCAATTAAGAACTTCTAACTAAGCAATAGCTCCTATGTGCAAAATTCAAAAAATTTTAGTAGATGCAAAGGTGGATTAGAATGAAAATTCCAATGAAATTAAAACATTGGTATTTTAAATCAAAATAATAGATGTAAAATATGTAATATATAATTTAGAATTTTGAATTTCTAATTACGATTAGATTTTAAAAAAACCGTTTGGGGTAAAATTCTCTATTTTGTATTGAAAATTACTAAAAAATTGACCATTTTCCTCGAGTTGGTAACACTGACTCAAATAAGCACATACCCACACCTTGCCCCTGGCAACTTTAAAGGGCCATTATAAAACCTTTAAGGTTGTGTGCTGGGCTCTGATGGCATATAGTTCTTATATGCCTTACCTGTAATTCTTATATTTTAGCCGAATGCTATATTAATTATAGATGAAATAGGTAAAATGGAGCTGTTCAGTAAAAAATTTGAAACAGCTGTTAGGTCTATAATGAAAAATGATAAAATAAAAGTAATTGCTACAGTACCCTTAAAAGGAGGCCCATACTTGGTCAAGGAGTTAAAAGAAAACCAAAATATTAAATTAATAACTGTATGTAAACCTCATTAACAATGCATTATAATTAATAATATTATCCAAACTTTAGGTGGATGAAAATAACAGAAACAAATTATTGGAACAAATAGTAAAGGAAATATCTGCCCAGTAACTAAACATCAGCACTTATTAACTGGTAAGTGTTACGACCTTTATTCAACAAAAACCCTTGAATATTCAAGCTATTCAAAATCTTGTAAAACTTATCCTTTGAAATGCCAACCCTCTCACTTATAGCTTTTATTTCGTTTACAGTAAAAATCGACGTTTGCTCAGTTTCTGATTTCTTTTGTAGAATTCTTAATAACGCCGACACCTGAAAGAATATTGTTAGATATTTTAGTTAATGTTGAGTTATATTGTACTTGTTTTTTGGAACTCATCCCAGTTCCATTTTGCGACCTATTTAGATCCATAACACCAAACTCGTCTGTAAAAATGTCCACCAAACTGTGTCTCATTATTTCTACCACTTCTAGGGCATCTTTTTCTGTAACCTCTTCTCTGAGTTCTGCTTTTGCTCTGGCCTAGATTAAATTTTATTTAACTGAATTAAAATGCAGGAAATTAAGATTGGGAAAAGATGAAGCCATTATTGTATCTGGTCTGATAAAAATATACCTACTACTACCAAAGCAGAAAAACATTTAGTATTACATGTATACCTGGGATAGTCTGACCAAAGAATTAAGTTGTCTTGTGGTCACTGGTGTGCAATCGCCAGCTTGAAACTGTTTTCTCAGAGATAAGTAAAATTGTTTTAAAACTTCTTTGGCTTTATCAGTTAGTTGGGGGTTTACATATTTTTGTGCATATGCAATGTATTTTCGGAAAAGACTATGTGGTAGTAGATCGAGTGTCTCCCCAGGCTGCATTTTTAATTTATCCCTAAAACAATGTACATTAATATTTGTGTATAAATTAAATTGCGTTTTTGAAACCTTAGAGTGTGTCCTTCAGTTGCACTAGCATTGGCATCATAAAAGGTTTGGTCTATTTTAATACCAGCATGTAAAGCTAATACATGCTTTGATAGTAAGTTGTCCAATTCCTAAAAAATATATACAATTTACATACACAAAACATTCGTTAATGTTGTTTGTACCTCATTTGGTTGATCCAACAATATAAAAATCAAATCGAATCTTGAAAGCATAGGCGAACTGATTTTTAAATTTTCCGCGATGGTTTTTGATTTGTCATAATGCCCTTTGGCTGGATTTGCAGCTGCCAAAATGGTTGTTCTAGTTGGCAAAGTGCAAACTATACCAGCTTTGGCAATACTGATGCTTTGTTGTTCCATTGCTTCAAGCAAACACTGTAAATTTTAAGTTAAATTTATCAGGTACCTATTTCAAAATGTTTCGAACAGTCTCTAAGAAAATATCTTAAAGATTTATAATATATATGAAATAATTCTCAGGAAAATACCTATACATAAGAAACCAATTTATTAGACTCACTTATAAATTTTCCTTACTTTTGTAAAGGGGGTAGCGGGTTAAGGGGGGTCTGGCGGCCCCCACCGAATCTGGTAAAATCGTTCCAAAAATCTTGAAGAGGGTCGAAAAACAAGCAGTATAAGCTTTTTACCGACATTACAACCCCAAACGAAAACACAGTAATGGCGAAAAATATGATTTTTTGTGATTTTTATTTTTTTCAACCAGTTTAATTTATTTTTAAATGGTTTAAACGCAATTAAAAATTTGTTTTGAATGTATGGTAGTCCCCTGAATTTTTTCAGATTTTTTGGTCAAGTAAAAACATGTGAATTTTAGGTTTAAATGCGAAAAAATCGTGAAAAACGCGTCATTTTCAAGATTCAACCCTCTAATTTTTAGGGTTGTTTTCATTTTCCCGAGGGGTGCTGTATAGTATAGATAGCGGCAATCGTCCTCTTTTGAATGCAGGCAACTGGACTTAATTTGGTCAATTCTGGTGAGCGGGGCAATTTTTTGAAAAAAAACTCGAATTTTCAACTTTCGGTAAATTACGGCGCGTACTTGGTATAATGCGTCTTTGCTATAAAAAATACATCTCTATAGAGGTTTTTGAGGTCGCTGATCACGAATTTGATGTCAAAAAATTTTTTTGACAACAAAGATATTTGTCGCGAATTATTCGTCCAGCACAGATTCTCACAAATATTTCTCTGTTCAAAGCGTTGAACATGTTATTGAAGAAGATAGTGACGAGGATTAAAACTGTAAAATTGTTAACTTAGCTCTGTAAAAAAGAATTATGCTATTTTATATTACTGTGTGACTATTACGTAAGCTTGAATAAAATATGATTTATACCAGAAAATTTAATTTCATTGATTATATTAGTTGAACACGATATTAAAATTGTTTAAATGCTGTGATTCAATGATATTTTTTACATTATCAAACCTGTGTTAATAAATATTTATGGGTGAATTTGTTGTCAAAAAATTTTCAACTTCGTGATCAGCGACCTCAAAAACCCCTATAGAGATGTATTTTTTATAGCAAAGACGCATTATACCAAGTACGCGCCGTAATTTACCGAAAGTTGAAAATTCGAGTTTTTTTCAAAAAATTGCCCCGCTCACCAGAATTGACCAAATTGAGTCCAGTTGCCTGCATTCAAAAGAAAAAGATTGCCGCTATCTATACTATACAGCACCCCTCGGGAAAATGAAAACAACCCTAAAAATTAGAGGGTTGAATCTTGAAAATGACGCGTTTTTCACGATTTTTTCGCATTTAAACCTAAAATTCACATGTTTTTACTTGACCAAAAAATCTGAAAAAATTCAGGGGACTACCATACATCCAAAACAAATTTTTAATTGCGTTTTAAACCATTTAAAAATAAATTAAACTGGTTGAAAAAAATAAAAATCACAAAAAATCATATTTTTCGCCATTACTGTGTTTTCGTTTGGGGTTGTAATGTCGGTAAAAAGCTTATACTGCTTGTTTTTCGACCCTCTTCAAGATTTTTTGAACGATTTTACCAGATTCGGTGGGGGCCGCCAGACCCCCCTTAACCCGCTACCCCCTTTGTAAAATAAATATCTTCTTAAAAAAATGCATTTTTGAACTACAAAATTGAAGATATGAATATAATCGCATTAAAAACGCTTTTTAAAATTAAAATAAAAAATTACCCATACGCGTTTTATTGCTTGATTACAACAGGTTCAGATACATGCCTAAACATGTAGTAATCAGTTTTATTGAAAAAAACGGGTTTTAAAGCCCAAAAAGTATTTTAGATAATATTTGAAGTATTTTAGATAATATTTTTTCCATCGCTTATTTAATTTTAAATTTATAGAAAAAATGCGTTTTATTTTCCTAAAAAGCGTTTTTAATGCGATTCTATTCATAAAATCACTATGGTTCAAAATACATTTTTGTGAAAATATATTGACCATTTTGGTGCAGTTGTCATGTTAAGCGAAAATGGCTTATCTGCAATATTTAATATTGTAGATAGTCATTTTCGCTTAACAGTTCAACTGCAACCTTGTCATTCTAAGATACCGTATATAAAATACAATATATGTCTTAATTTAGAACGAATAGGACAAAACTAGCTTGACACTAGCAGAAAATTTACCTTAATTGTTTATATCAAAGTTAATTAATAATTATATTATATACAGCAGGGGCGGCTAGTGTATAAGGGCTGCAGAGCTGCAGAACTCCCAAAATTTTCTTATTACTTGACTATTTTTTTAATTATTTAATATTTAAGTGCGACAGTGTACCTATAAATATTTCAAACGCAAGGCTGCATAAAAAGTTTTTATTATAAACATTTGCCGTGTCGCCGTACTTGGCCACTACAGTCATCCAAACGACCGGTAAAGGTCTCTAACGCTTAACGCTTATAATACAACAAAGCTGGGCCACTTTCGAGTTCTGGTTCCCATTTCAATACCGTAATTTTGCCCCGCGCCGCTCTTGGCCCTGGGTTAAGATAGTGAAATTTAAGCCAAATCGGAGCTGCACCAACATACAGTTCCTACTTCACGGTCGTTTGTTTTTCGCTTCGCGTTCACGTTTGTTATTTTAACTAGAAGACTGTTAATTCTGTGTATTTTTGTGTTTTGTGTTTGTTGTTGTATTCTTTTGTAAGAATGAATGTGGTGTATGATTTAATTATGATTTAATTAATTATCTGTAGGTACCATTTAATTAAATGCCAACTGCGCCACATTTTTTTAAACCCCACTGGCAGAACTCACAAATTTTACTGCCACGAGCCGCCACTGCTATACAGGGTGTACTTGCAAGTATACTTCTATATATTTGTATCTTTTTTATTTGAAGATCTAGAAGTCTATTAAAATGGCTTTTAAAAAAAATCAGCGTTTCGTGCATAGGGATTGGACGAGGAAACGGAAGAGCTTCGGTTCGCAGCGGTTCTCAATAAAAAAATCTAAAAATCGTTATAACTTCGTTATTCCTGATAATTTTGAAAAAATTAAGTTTCACATGTAATCATGCACATTTATCTACATTTTTATCCATCCATTTGTGATTTTTTTGCCTACTAGATTTTGATTTTTCTATGGCCGCTGAATTAAAATTTTACATGGTCAGATAGGAAAAAAATCAAGGAATCCTGCGATGTACCAAACTACATGTTATGGCGGCCATTATAAAAACAAAAGATGGTGATGGTAACTCAAAATATATTAGTAAAGAAATTGGATGAAAATGTAGATTATTGCTTACATGTAAAACTAAGTTATATCGATTTTTGGTTTTGGAAGGATTTAGTATTTTTAAAATATTTTGGAAACCGCTAGCTTTTTTCCAATTTATAAATTTCATTTTAATAGGCTTATAGTTACGCAACTTATCTTATTTCACCGATCTTGTAGCTTTTCAAATACAAAAGATACCCATAGAAGTATACACTTACTTTGTGCATCTTGTATAGGGTTTTAAAGTGTCGAAAAAAAAAGCCGGAAAAATTGGGAAAAAACCTGTTTTTTCCGTTTTTTTCCCAGGCCTTGGAAAAATTGTCTTTTTTTGGGAAAAATTGATTTTTTTTTTTGGAAAATATACACATTTGAAAAAAAGTAGCAACGAACAACTTAACATTATTTTAAATAAAAAAAATCCTTTATTACAAAAAAAATAAAACTAAACACTAAATTAAATTTAAGAAAATAAACGTAAACGTGAAATATACTGTGTGTTGGGTTTTTTTCTTGCAAAAAGGAGTCCATTAAAATATCTAACTACAAAATAATGAATAATTTATAAAATTAAATTACAAAATTATAATTTTATAAATCGAAGTGTTAAATAAAAGTTATGTTAATATAGCACCGAATATGTTTTTTTTGCGGCCCGGTAGAATATCCTTACTGAATTGAAATAAAAGGAATAATTATTATAAGCAAAATATTATATGATTATAATCAGCGTCGGAAATTCACTTTTTTCTCGGTATCAGTGTACCCGTAAATATTTGTAAATTTAAAAAAAATTGACTTTTGCATTTTTTCGTATTACCATTTGAATAAAATTAAAAAGTAAATTTTTCTGGAAATTTTAAAACCCTAATCCTGTACACCAGACAAAGTCCTTTTATAGTTATCTGTTTGATTATAGTTATAAAAAAGGTACTGCTTGATTTAACTATTCGCAACCCATCTATACAAATTTTTATCTGCTTTGTTATGAATAGATTATTTTGTGGGTTTAATAAAATGGGGCTTTAAACAACAATGCATAGATAAAAACGCGGAGATTCAAGTCTCTCCTTAAAAAAATCAGGTTTTTGGACGTGCCCTTGGCTCTGGGCTACAGATAAGTTTCTCATAGTATTTTTTTTGAAATATACCTTACTATTATTTGTTTAAAGATTAATAATTCCCACCACTTAAATTTTTTGCAGTCTTTTGTAAAATTATCGTTTATTGTAAACACCAACAATAGCTTATCAAACCGTTTCCCGCCTTTCAAACACGCTTTTATTTCGCGAACATAACATAACACACCGATGCGGAAGGTTACTCACTGCATGTTGGGAGGGCATCTTATCGAACTCGTCGATGCAACAGCACCCTTGATCGGCCAACATCAAGGCCCCGGCCTCCAAGCAGTACTCTCCTCCGGCCTCCCTGCCCATAGTCACGGTCAAGCCGGAACTTGTGCTCGTGTTGCCGCACACGTAGACGCCCCGCGGCGCGACGTTCGTACACGCGTGCAGCATCTGGCTTTTTCCCAGGCCCGGGTCGCCCACCATCAAGATGTGCGATTCCGCTCGCGTCACTTCGCTTTTCGCTCCGCCGAACAATGCCAGCAGCAGGCCGGCTTTCACTATTTCGTGGCCGTAGATGTTCGGGCATAGGGATTGGACGAGGAAACGGAAGAGCTTCGGTTCTGAGTGAATTTGCTATAAAAGAAAAAAATATCAAAAACCATTCTACTTACACCTTTAAAACGCCCATTATCGTACATGTTTCCATGACACTAAGTGACCTTTTAAATACACATTGACAAGTTGTGGCTTTATGGCGTTTTAGTCACAGGCTGAAGTTAGCAACAGGTTTTTAGTCACGGGCTGAAGTTAGTTTTAAGTTGTCAAATTTAATACAATCGTTAAAATAAAGTGTAAAATAATACTAAATGTGAAAATTATTTTATTATCTCAATACAAAAATACAAAAGTATTAAATAGTTTCTCAAAGCCAATATTTAAAACGATTATATGAACGTTTCGCCGTAGGGTATTTCCACGAAACCTTACCCCACATTGGCAAAAAATCTTATTTAACAAAATAACAACTATATCTGAAGTCAAATAGTTTAATTTCGACGTAATTTATATCCTTAAAATATTCGTACGGAAGAGTTTCAATACTCGATAAAATGTTCAAATGTCGCACCCGTTACATTATGTGAAAATTTTAGAAAATAAAGTATGCAATTGTTGTGCATGTAAAATACGTGCTTGTTTAAGGTTACCTACTATATAAGTTTTATACAAAAAATTATTACTATATGCTTTCATCCAAAATTTTACAGTATCAACTTAAGAAGCCAACTTGGTCGCCTTTGCCGATTTTCTAAGGTCGCGCCCGTTACGCTATCATGACGTTATAAAAGGTTTTCTATACAAGTTTTTATTGACATTTAGTTTGAATTAAATACCTATTTTTTCATACTATTTTTTTATATTAACGTATCTTGATATATATGAACAAACACTTTATTATCATGAAAAAACGCATTTTTAGTGTCGCACCCGTTACAATGAAAATACCCCGTAGTAGTGCAGTTAACTGATAAAGCGTAAAAAATGTTGCGTATACAGTGCCCATAAAATATTCTCTTTTCTTTTACTGTGAAAAACTGCTTCTATATCGATTGTTAGTCTATTTTTAAGGGAAAAATTTTGATTTACACTGAAAAATTTGAGATTTTAACGCCGGTAGATTCCCAAGTTAGAAATTCTAACGGGAATTCCAATAAATACAAAAAAAAAGTTTATATACAAAAGTGCTCTTTTAGTTCCACCCTTACTTCCTAAGAAGTCCCAGAAGCCAACTAAATGGCTTGAGCGGGTTAGGGGTAGGAGAGGACCGCAGGCTTATAAAGTCCCCTTCGAAGGACTATTACACAATAGGGCAAACACAAAACAGCCATACCCCTGGTGGGATTCGAACCCACGACCTCTCGGCTTGTAGTCAGCAGCACAATTTTTAATACTTTGTGATAATATTTTGAAATTATAGTAATAAAAAAATTAAAGGAAAAAATATTTTCTTAACATAATCATATTTTGAAGTTATTTTAATATATTAAAGTATTAATAATTGTAAAGTTTAATAAAAATGTTTATTGGGATGTTTACTTTATTTTTGTATAGATGTCGCTTTATACAAATATTTAATTTAAATCATTTTTTAGATAATATAAAGTATTTGTCGTAGAAAAAGTATAGTATGCAACTTGTTTATAAACTCGCTCGTGCCTAAATTAAATTCGTGACTAAAATGTTGTTTATACACTAATATGTTAAACTTGATACATAATATACTATTAAAAACAGGCTTTTATTCAAGCCATGCACTAAAACGAACAAAATAAGTTTTGGTGATAATGTTGAATTATTTGTTTCCAAAAAGCTTGTTGCGCTAGGTATGAACATTTCGCGACAAGCCTTACGATTATGAGTATATATAGTATATAGCTGGCCCCATAAGCGTCATCATGCACTGGTCTCCCAGAATTATTTTTACCCTTTCAGTTCTCCTACGTATCCCGCAACTACACTGTGTACATTACCGGTGTATGACTTAAGCACGTTCAAATTAATAAATATACACTCGTTTAAGCTTGTTTACAAAGGCCATAAATCAAGTACCGAACCAAAGTGGCCTCCTTGATAAAGAACGTATAATCTCTTATAATACAAACGCACAGACTGGCAAATATTACTGAATCTTCTCTGAAGTCAAACATGGAATGATAAACCTTTTGGTTTAGATACTGACGTACCTAAAGTTGACTGAATTACGTTGCTGTTTAATTAAATTCTTAAGTGTTGCAATTGCCATTAGGCGATTAATTAAATATACTTATCAGCCTCTGTAGGAGTACCTTAGTTTCTCGTTCCGCTTTTGTTTCCCACGGTGATATTGAGGTGGTTATGCCATACATTTTTAGAAAGGGTCTGTTATTGACTGCTCTAAACGAGGGAAAGAACGTTACATTTCGCGACAAGCTTTTTGAAAACAAATATTTTAACATTATTACCGACCTAAACTTATTTATTTCATTGCTTTAAATTTGCATTTGTTAAAAAATGTCGTGTAAAAAGATTTTTCACGGCGGAATTTTAAGGGTAAATATTTATAATCCCTTTTCTGATTCTTTATTTTTGTATAAAAAGCTAATACATATAATACAAACCTGAATATCATAATAATCCTTTATATTAAAAGTTATCCTCTCAGATGCTCCATAACTCCCTTGACTTTGATTTTTATTGTTTATTACAGATATAGTATGCAGGTAAAGGGAAAATACTGAATTTTGTTTAGCCTTTGCACTTTGGTCTGTATTTTGCACCTATAAAATCACATTGATTCACATTTAATAAGTAAAATCTTAAATGATTTACCTTTATTATTCCTGTTATTGTTATATCATCACCTGGTATGCAAGCTTTTACCAAGTCATTAGTTAAAACACATTCTAAAGTCCTTGGAATCCTACCATCTTCTGCCTTAAATTTGTTTAAAATTATAAAGCATTATATGGTATTCAGTTAATAGTATGTTTTAAAAACCACATGATTTATTTTAAAATTAAAAAAGAATAGTTTTTTTATTGATGGTCCTTTTTCAAAGCATTAATTAATAACCAAAAGTTTTTAATTTATACTTGTGCTCATAAAATTAGTTCAAGAATAAATTTAAAAAGGTTTGGGTACCTACCTGTTCAGTTCCAACAAGTTCCTGTATTTTAATACTTTTCCAGCTTATTGTCTTTGTAAACTCTGAAGAGTGTTGTGGGGTAAAATTTGATTGTGCCCGACAATTCGTGGTCAAACATCTACTTGGTAAAGTATAATTACCATCTGGTTGATGCACAACTTGTAGATTATTGCACATACTACACATAAACGTCATGTAGTTGCAAATTATTTTTACATTTCCTGATTTTATAACTGTGCCTCGAACTGACACCAATTTGCCATAATAATTCACCCTCAGATCTTTAAGTTGCAAGCTTGGCTCAAAATTAATAATTCTAGGCCTAATAATTGGCAGTTCTTTTGTGGATTCACTTTTTTCCTCATCATTTAAATTTTCATAATATTTATTTATTATGCTCTGGTGCACAGCAAGTCCCATAACATTTAAACAGTATTCAGTATTTTCAACTAACTCAGTTTTATATGTTTCCCAAGCTGTATTTAGATTATCATCGTTAATTAAAAGTTTGTGGTCAACATAGAAATATTTATTTTGTTCAATGATTTCAAAGTTAAATATACCACAGTTTTGTTCAATATAATTTTGAAATATTGTTACGTGATTTGTGAGGTTCTCAATATCCAAAGAACCTAAAAAATTTGTTATTTTAGTCAACAAACTGTGGTTTTTAAGTTTGTTTACCTTCTTCAGGGAAATAGAGTTTAAACCCTGAAAATCCGTATTGGGCAGTATCTCCGATTTTACTTGGCTTTTCTTTATTAGTGTTATTTGCATTATAATTTTTATATCTGTGATTAAATTTGCTCATTTTAATTTTTCAAATTATTTGAGGTTATGTTGATTATTTATTGTGCATTTGAGCTACCGATCATTCAGACTACTCGTGTTAAATATACAGGGCAATACAAAATACAGTATAAGTGTGACGCGCTCTCAAAAAAAAACGAACCAAAATTGAAATTTTACAGAAGCCGATTAAAGTTCGCGCAGCATAGGCGTTTGTGTAGTAGACTTTGGAAATTCGTAGCATTTTCAATTTTTGAGATAAATAAATCATTATTGGACTTTTCAAAAAAACATAATCTCGAAAATCATTTTTTGGACCTAAGATTCATTTTCTCGGAGCCCGTTAAATAGAGGCTTACATTTTTTGTAATCCATGGTTTTAACTATTTACCTAATTATAATTAAATGGTTAAAAATTTCCACAATTAAAAAAAAATAATGCGGAATAAATTTATAGATTAAAAACCACTTCACTTTGAATTAAAATACTATTTTGGGTATCTTGTTTAAATCATAACTGCAACATTAAATAAATAATCCAAATAAAACCAGTTTAGAATTGATAAATATTTATTAAATAAATAAATCTTTCCAATTATTTAACACATACCTACTGACGGAAATTTCATCATTTTAGCTGGCGATATTTTTATTTTGGATCAATATTATTAAACAATTTAATCGTTTCACAACATTTTATCATTAAAGGCGTTACATAATATTTGTTTATAATAATACTTACTCTACATACTTAACTTAAAATTTAACACAGTCATATTAATTAAATAAATAAAAATGTATTGAAAAAAAAATAGATAAATTATATTAATTTACTTTAGCACAATTATTATTATTATTATTATTATTATCAGGTGCTGTCAATTCACCGCGCAAATCTTTCCTTACGAGCTGAAAAATAAAATTTTATTTTTGTGTTAACATATTTAAAAAAATATTACCATTATTCTGTCATCCCTTGATAAGTTTGGTAAAGCTAAAACATATGATAGCTTGGTTAAAGCTGCCTCAAGAGTCATGTCATTCCCACTGATTACACCAATATTTTCCATAAGCTAAAAAATGAATAATTAAATAAAACCACCTTCTAGTGTTGATGTTTTTTCTTACTTGTCCAGGTTCGTACAAAGCATTTACTGCGCCCTCTGAACATTGCGTTATGTTTACTATGATTACGCCACGTTTAATTGCCTCTTCTAGGGCATCGAGAATATCTTGTCTTCTTGTTGGTATGTTTCCAACTCCAAATGATTCCAGTACTGCTCCTTCTAGAGGTGGTTGTAGAATTGCTTTTAGCTTTAAAAGTTTTAAACATGTTTAAATTGTATAAGTTATAATTAATTTTTGTAAAAAAATTACACGACTACAAAATATATAACATTATAAATTATAGAGAGATAACCAAAAAATATAAAATAATTTAATCTACAGGGTCCACCAAGTATCCTTTTAAGTGTATAATACAAATGGATATTTTTATTTTAGTTTATTATTTGTTTATTTTTAAGTTTAGGGTAGTTCTGCAATAATATTTTGTTCCAAATTATTTTTTGAATATGCATTTTTTAAAAATATTTCAATTGTTTTTTTCTTTACACCATTTTGATGAAAAGAAAAAATCCACCAATTTTCTAATGCGAAAATCCAAAACAAAAATTCCTTTACCATTTTTTTCTAATTTGCAAAATTGCAGATGTTATTTTATTTGGGAAACCCCCAATGAGAGCGCAGTATTTATAGGACGAGTTTTTGTTATATTTTTTGTTTTTGCATTAGGAAAAAGTAAACAAAAACAAATTTTCTGCATGTTGCTCGCCCTACACTGTTTTCTCATTGGCGGCCTTAAAAATTGAATAACTCCTGCAATTTCGCGAATTTAAAAAAATGTTAAAGGAAAACTTGTCTTGAAAGAAGAATTAACCTTTGGACGATTCCATGATTACTAACGGGACAAGACAAAAAAATCAAAATGTTTTATGAAAATTTTTGAAGATGTGTTGTTTCTATAATAATAATTTTATGCCAGCCCTGAGCAATGAAATTAAGTAATAATTATTATACACTGTGGCCCATTTGTTTGCGACTCACCCCTGTAAAATCTTTACTTATTGTGCGATTTTAATCGGATTTATTTTAAAGTGTAGATCTTGATAAACTATTTTTGGAATAAAAAACGCCATATTAGTACAAAATACAAGGCGTACTATGTTAGTTTTTAAGAGTAATATTTTTTTAAACAAAATCTAAGCACGGCACTGGATTCGCCACCCCTCAAAACGACTCTTTACTAAATTTTATTAAAAAATTTTAAGTAGATGCACAATAATAACTACAAAAATTTATTTTGTCAAGTTATCCATGAAAAAAACATCGAATTAAAATTAAACTAATAGTAACATGGTACTATTACTATAAGTTTAATTTTATTTCAATGTGTTTTTCATGGATAACTTGCCAGAATAAATTTATTTATTTATATTATGCATTTTTCTACTTAAAATCTTTCAATAAAATTTAGTATAGGGTCGTTTTGAGGGGTGGTGAATCCAGTGCCGTGCTTAGATTTTGTTTAAAAAAATCGCTGATATGAATTCTTAAAAATTTACTCTTTATAACTTACATGTAGGCCTTGTAGTTTGTAAAAATATGGCGCTTTTTGTTTTAAAAATTTAATAAATCCTGCAATTTTGCGAATTCGAAAAAATGGTAAAAGAAGTTTCGTCTTGGATTTTCGCAAGGAATCGATTTCTTTCGGTTGTTCCGGTGATTTTGGGATACCCTGTATATTAAAAGTCAACAAAATCTTGAACTTACCATTGCAGAGTTTATTGTTGGTACTATTGTAATTACTCCAACATTTGAAGTTAATCTTCTAAACACCTTCAAGTTCTTCCCTGGTTTACGAATGGCACGAGAATTGACTAATTTAAAAAGTATTTAAATTAAAAATAATTTAAAATATATTTAAAAAAACAACAAACCTTTAACTGTGATACCCACTTCCGCAAGGGGCGGTAAGTTTGGCGAATTAAAGGCGTTCATCTGCGTCGAACTAATTTTTGTCGTTCTATTTCCCCTGCACAATTTGTCAGCAAAAAATATACAAACTTCCGGTATATCATAATTAACTGCAATATCAATTGAAGACAGTATGTTACTTTTGGCATCGTTTCTTGGTTCGAAAAATGATATCTACAACAAATTTGTTAATTCGTTTGCATTTTAAGGATTTTATTTAGTTGGTTACTTGAGATCCTGTTACTATTACTGGTTTACTGAGGCCTTCCAGCATAAATGAGAGAGCTGAAGAAGTGTAACATAAGGTATCGGTACCATGAAGTACCACGAACCCATCGAACTCATTGTAGTATTGCTGCAAACAAGCTAAAGCTGAGATAAATGTTTAAATTTCTTTCTTGGGGACATTCTACTATTAAACGACCAAAATTGTAAATTATCTATAGCCCAACTTTAATTATTTTCCTAATATATTATTTTAAAAAAATCAACTTCCACTAAACAAAGTTCCTAGCATTTTTCTTATTACGTATTAACAGTAGAATGTCCATTATATATGCATTATTTTATAGCTATAACCATACTTCAATGTCTTTGGCAATTAGACTCCAATCGGTTTCTGTCATGTTGCTAGAATCCAAAAGAGGATCGTATTCTTTAAATTCGCAGATTATAATTCTGCCTTGGTATCTAAAAATTTAATAATTTAATTAATAATATGTATTTTATGTAAGTAAGACTTACAGTATAAGCTGATTTTTTTTCATTTCTATGTTATATTCCTTGGCCACTTCTGGACGGTGGATTTCCTTTGTAAGTTTTTGTAAAAATGCGTTTGGAATGGGAATGTATGCTATAATGTAGATAAAGAATAGTATATTAAGTGTCAAGTTTGATAAACGCCATTTTAGTCATACTTATTATTATATAAAAATGGTTTAATTTAAATATTTGTATAGAGCGACATCTATAAAAAATAGTGTAACTCGCGTAACAATTAGATTTGTCAAAATTAATTCCTTGAAAATGGACTAACAAACGTTTAAATGATGATATAGAAGCAGTTTTTCCACAATGAAAGTGAAGAGAATGTTTTATGGGCACTTCACGGTGCAGTCTCCACCAAAAATTTTTAATGCTTTCAGTTAAATCTAGTTTACTGCCGGCAAAATCAAAAGGTCAGTACAAACTTGCATAAAAACTTTTCAAATCATTTGGTACTGTTTGATACCTTTAATTTTAATTTTTTAAATGTAAGAAGGGATAAAATCTGTATAACCTTTTTATTTAAATTAATCCATAATGTTATAGACTGCCCTGTGGAACCATATATATGGTAAAAAAGTTATAATGAAAACCTATTAAGTTAGGATAGTTTATGATCACATGTGATTATAAATTATCTTAACATAATATGTTATTTGAACTTTTTATTTTTAAATCGTCATAAGATTTTTTGTTAATTTTTTAATACACTTTTTTAATATTCTGTCAACATTTAAATAAAATAAATAAATCAATCAATTTAATTTTTTTTTATATTCAAAATAGGACACACTTTATAGTAAATATTCTTAAAACAATAACATTTTATTTTTAAAACTTTATTCATTTAAGTATTAAACGAAGAGTTATTATGTACATGTATATTATTTTATAATTATAACCAATTTTTAAAATAAATTTTAATAATTATTATTGTTAATAGGTAATACGTTAATAGGTAATTATTTTTAAGTGCTATCAAGAAATTATATTATATTTTTTTTGAGGCCAAATTTACGTAAAAATTTAAAATAAACTAAAATAAATACAAAATTCTGAAAAACGTGCCAGTGAACTATTTTTTTGGTTGCGTGAATATTTTGAAAAAAGTAGGTATTTTTAAAATTTTAAAAAGTATAACAAGGGTAAGTAAAAATTAAATTTTAAATAATATTGTTTTCATTGAAATTTATTATTGAAAAGTTGTTATTGTTGTCAGGTTTAGCAACTTTGGTTTATCTTTATGGAAAAAATAATGGTGATAAACTTTCGACAGAAAATTTGTTGGGGAATTTAAATAAGCTTTGCAAAAATACAGTAAATGTTATTATTATAATAATATTATTTTGGGTGCTTTATTGCAGATTTAAATTAAATGTGGTATAAAATAATATTTAAAGAAAAATCATTGTTTTGTAATATTAATAAAATTCCAAAAATAAATTATTTAAATTTATTTTTAAACCTAGCACGTGTTTAATTAAAAATATAATTAAAGCTTAAAGTTTTAAAAAATTAAAAACTATAATCAATAGTGTTTGGAAGTATTTTTTTTAAATACATATGTTACATAATATGTATATATGTATAGCATATTATGATATACATATTTATAGGTATTTTTAAAAATGCATAAAAAATTAAAATTTTTATTGATTATTAAAAAAAATTAAATGCGTAATCAATTATGATTTTTACGTATTTTAACAACTGTTAATAATAATAATAAATACCAATATATATCATGTATACTTAATGTACATTTTATTTTTTATATATTTCTGCATTTTTCAGAATACTGTTAAATAACGATTCCACTAAATATTTAAAAATGCGTCTTATAGCATTTTAAGTTGACTTTTCGTCTGAATTATTTCCAATAGCATGTGCAAAGATCAAAAGTTCGAAAACAAACTTACACCTATGTAATAAGTTATATAAGTATAGCACATAGCCTACATTACCTCCTTGATCATTTTTCTGCATGCCTATGGTCCCCCCGACGTATAGCAGCAAAACTTTCCTAACACTCGCAGGCATTTTCAGACGGAAATGTTTATTTTACCCACGTAGTATACGCACTGTATCAACGGATTCGAAAAACACAACAGTCGAGTTTATATTTAAAAGTTCGGGTATCTATCAAGACTGTTTAAATATGGTGCAATTAATCTTATTTATATGGCGTGTCGTATCACGGCGAAGCCGATCTACACTGGGTGATGGGAAAATTAAACCAACTATGTTCTAACATTTGTTTATTTTTTTTCGTCGTTTTTTGTAAATAAAAGAGTGATTATCTTTGCTACCAATTAGGTACCTAAATGTTTCAACATTAAAAAAAAAATTCGTCGTTTTTGGTTAATAAAAGATTGATTATCTCTGTTAAATTTTAAGATTTATAAACTATTAAATATAATTTTAAAAATATGCGCATATTTTTATTTTGTTTTTCTACTCCTACATTGACGAGCTGTGTAATTATTATTGTAAGTAAAACATGCCATGTGTACCTACTGTCAGATTGACAGATTATACACAATAATGGCATTACGTGTCTATTCTTTTAATATGTCCATGGTTACCCGGTATATATTTTTTATCTTTCTTTCATATGACGCATAAGAACATATTTCACGAGCGATAATTATGATTCCCTTAACAGGAATCCTATTACATATTACGTAGATCGATTAAACATCAAACATCAAACTCGGATAGACTTTGGTTTATTTTACAAAACGCTACATCAATAAAAAATACAAATAAAAAATAAAATATAAAGATAGTTTGTTTTCTTAATCTTAAACTTAATCACTTAAACACAATAACAAATTATAATTGAAATTAAACAAGATTTGTAAAAGATGTAGAAAACCGCCGGAAACCCAATAAATTTTCATAATTTATACGTTGATTATTATTGAGTACATCATAAACCAAACATTGGCACAATCTTTAGTTTTACCTATTTAATGAAAACCGTAAGAGTTTTATGCAGTGGCGTAGATACAAATTGGGGATAGGTAACGAATGCACTCTAAATTTAAAAAAATAAATGTTAATACGACTTGCAAAAATTATTTTAGTGAAAACTACAGCTCCTAATAGTAATTTATGTCTTTAGGCCGAATGGCATACAAAACAATAAACAAAACGCACATTTAATAAAAGTACAAAGTGAGCTTAGATATATCTGACAGAAGTCGAATTTTGATTGGTCCACACTAGTAAGTAATGATTTTTTACGGATAAATAGCCCAACCCTAATTTATTTTTTATTTAGGAATTAATTTAATGTGTTAACCCTAGAATGAATATTTTAAAATTAGATTTAATTTTTATGCTAAACTGATATTTTTAATTTAGTGAATTTATATTTGTATTTTTTTGCTAAACACACATTTTTAATTCGCTTAATTAAAAATTAGATTTTATTTTTATGCCAAACTGATATTTTTAATTTAGTTAATTTAAAATATTTGCTTCTTATATTTGTATTTTTTAGCTAAACCATCTAGCGACCGAATTAGTTTGGAATACCAGGGGTGTCCAAACTTTTAATCTCAATTAAAAATGTCTTATTAAATAAAATAAAAAATTAATCGAATTCAAAATATTTCTTATGATATTTTTAATACCCACATTTAAAAATTTCTTCTATGATATTTTTAATTTAGAGAATTTAAAATACCTGTGTTTAACAAAAAAATACAAATATAAGAAACGTATATTTCAATTTATAAAAATTAAAAATATCAATTTAGCATAAAAATTAAATCTAATTTTTAAATATCTGCTTTGATATTTTTAATTCGCAGATAAAACATGTTCATGTGATATTTTTTATTTATACATATTTTTTTTAAAATAGATTTAATTTTTATGCCGAACTGATATTTTAAATATATTTAATTTAAAATATTTACTTCTTTTTTTTTGTTAAACACATATTTGCTTAATAAAAAATTACATTTAATTTTTATGCCAAACAGATATTTTTCATTTGCTAAAGGGTATTTCCATTGTAACGGGTGCGACACTAAAACTTCGTTTTTTTATGATAATAAAGTATTTGTTCATATATATCAAGATACGTTAATACAAAAAATAGTATAAAAATTAGGTATTTAACTCAAACAAAATGTTAATAAAAACTTGTATAGAAGATCTTTTAAATCGTCATGAGTAGCGGGCGCGACCTTAGAAAATCGGCAAATGCGACAAAGTTTGCTTCTAAAGTTGATACTGTAAAATTTAGGATGAAAGCATGTAGTAATATTTTTTTGTGTAAAACTTGAATACTAACCTTAAACAAGCACGTATTTTAAAAGCACAAATATTGTATACTTTATTTTCTAAAATTTTCTCAAAATGTAACGGTTGCGACATTTGAACATTTTATCGAGCATTGAAACTCTTCCGTGTTTAATCTTAATGTTAGCTTCTTAGCGTCATAATGTACGAATATTTTAAGGTCGCAATTAAACTATTTGACTTCAAATATAGTTGTTATTTTGTTAAATAACAAATATCATAGGATAAATTTTTAATTTGATTTATTTTTAATACATTTAAAAATTTCTCCTATGATATTTTTTAGCGAATTAAAAATATGTGTTTAACTAAAAAATACAAATATAAGAAAGAAATATTCACTAAACTAAAAAAAATATCAGTTTTGCATAAAAATTTAATTTAACTTTTAAATATTCACCATGATATTTTTAATTCGCAGAATAAAAATTCTTTTTTATCTAATTTAAAAATCACTTTAGTGTTAATACATAAGAATAATACCTGAACAAAAAATAAAACGGCGCCCCAAGTCCATTTTTTGTCTTTTTTAATTACGTCAGGAAATATCTTTGATCTAAAAAGAACAACAGTATAAAAACAAACTGCGATAAAATACATGCACTCCAAGAAGTACGCCACTGGACACAGAATTAACGACCAATTATATTAATCGTAAACTATTCATAACCGTTTTTTGTTTGGAAAAAAGCCAAGGAGTGCGAAATTTTGAACAGGGCGATTGCGAAATTGTTTGCGCTTTTCGTTAAGCAGGAGAGACAATGCGTGTGCAAGGTGACAGCAGGTTTTGCTTCAGTTTTCGGAACGGTCAGAGATGAACCGCGTCCTTAGCGTCGAGACGAGCCGAAGCGGCGCCCTAGCCACCGAGTTCATCACCAAAAGGCTGTGTTGCAGCTGTATTTTGACGGCCGCCTTTCTGGCCATGCTTGGCGGTAAGTTTGTTGTTCGTTGTTTAATTTAAACAAAATAAATGGTATTTACGATATTTGCGTGCGTTTGCATACCTTGCTATATTTAGAAGATGACAAAACAAAATTTAGCAGGAATTACTTAATTTTTCTAATTGAGAACAGATGTTGACAATATTTGTGCAAGTTTTGTTTGGCAGTTTTAAATGTGTATTTTTTTTAAGTAATGTAAATAAACTAATGTAATCAAAGAGAGAAACTAATTTCTTGAATATTATATGAAATATTGAATTGATTTACAAAATTAAGAAAAATTTTAAAATACACAACAGTTAAAAAATACTAGGACATTTCTTTTTTAATTAATAAAACTTTAAAAAATAATATAAATACAACTTTAAATATTAAATTATTTAAAGTTATAAAGGTACTAAAAAATGAAAATCCATTAATTAATCGTACATGTTTCCATGACACTAAGTGACCTTTTAAATACACATTGACAAGTTGTGGCATTACGGCGGTTTTAGTCACATGCTGAAGTTAGCAACAGGTTTTTAGTCACTGGCTTAAGTTAGTTGACACCGTTGTCAAATGTTATACAATCGTTAAAATAAAATGCCCTTCTTGTAAAATAATACTAAATCTAAATATTATTTTATTATCTAAATACAAAAGCAATAAATAGTTTTACAACGCCAATTTTTGAAAAATTTATATAATCATTGTACTGACCTTTTAATTTCACCGGCAGTAAACTAGATTTAACTTAATTTCAGGTGGAGACTTCACTGTGGAGTACCAATAAAACATTTCCTTTACTTTCACTTAAAAACTGTTGTTAGTCTATTTCGATTTACACATAAAAATTTGATATTTTCACCGGTGCGCCGGTAATACAAAATTCCAAGTTGGTTACTCTATTGTTTTATAGATGTCGCTCTATACAAATATTTAATTTAAATCATTTTTTAGATAATAATAAGTATTTGTCGTACTAATTAAGCACTCGCTCGCAAGCTCGCTCGTGACAAAATTAAATTCGTGTCTAAAATGGCGTTTATCAAAATTGAAACATATTATATTATAAATTGTGCATATTTATTTAAGAACAATTCCAATAAAAATTTTAATAAACCATATAGTTTACCCCTTTTTCTAAAGTTAATTTTGTATGATTTTTAAAACTAAAGCGATAGTCGTTTTAAGTACCTACATTATTTGTTTGTATTCTCTAGCTTTAACTATATTATATATAAATATATATTATCTTCTAACATAATTTAATATCAATATTATAAGCATCAGCGCAGCTTTATAATTGTACCTATTGTACAAATATGTTTATATACAAATATGTACATGTTTGTTTAAATAAATGGTGTAAAATCAATATACAACGTTTCCGGTTATAAGTATAAAAAAATCCTGACAAAGTTTTGAATTCAATTTTCCTTCTACTCTATAGAGATCTATTGTATTAAAACAAAATATACTTAGGGGCCGTCCATAAATCTCGTGACGCTAAAAATAGTCAAAATTTACCCCTTCTCATCCCTCGTGACAAAATGTTTTGATTTATATCTGACAGCCATGCTTGTATAAATCACTATTAAAATTAGCAAAAAATATGTATATATATAATATACTTAAAAATAGCCTCTTCTATTGCGTGGTATTGTGTTAATGCGCTATTTAAGGGATACCCTGTATTCGTATATGAAATTTTATAATAGACAAAAAATTAATCCCGGCGCATTCGCCATTTTCGCAAAACTAATTTTCATTGCGCCTGTTTAATATTTACGTACATAAAAGTTTTTTTTTTGTAAATTTTAATCGTTCTTAAATGTAAAATTAGATTTTCTCATTTCCTTGAATATAACGTAAAAAATCCTGCCAAATTCATTTTAAGGGTTAGGTACTTTTTAGGTAGAGCTAGTAAAAACAAATATAAATATGTATTAATGAGCAAAAAGTACCTACTTAAAAGTAAAAATAACCCTTATATATGTACAAAATTTCATCACATCAATTCATCAAACATAAAAAATGCTCTTAAGTAGAAACATGTAATCGAGATCTCGAGTACAATAATGTACTTTTTAAACTTTAGAATAACATATTTTTTAAAATAAAGCAAGTAGGTACATTACTCTAGAACCACACAGCTCCGGTGTGGAAAACTTTCTAAAACTCGTTTTCATATCAGACTAACTTAAACATAAATAATTCATAACTTTATTTTATCACGTTTCCAAAAACATGTCTTGTACATAAATCCCCCACTGGGAAAGAAAATATTGCTGCAGCGTTTGCAGAGTTTACAAGTAAAATGTTTTATATATATGCTACTTGCATTAACATAAATGAAATTTAACTATTAATATGTAACACATAACTTATGTGACATAAGGGTTAATTAGGGTAATTTTAAAACTTTACCTTAGAATTCATATGGAATGTTTTTATAAGTCTTCGGTTAGATATATAAAGACGAGTAGGTACTTATACCGTCCCTTGTACTGGAACAGCGGTGAAATGTAAATATTGCATTAATGTTTAAATCATATCTGATTTTTTTACTTTTTTAAATAAAACAGCCTAAGCCCTATGCGTAAAATTTGATTTGTTTAAAAGATATTTATAGCAGGAGCAGGTATTTTGGGCTTATTTATTGAACAATCGACTTTAACGCCAAAATATTTACATTAAAAAAATGGCCGAAAATCAGTCAACTTTACTAAATGATTCAGACCAAAATTAATCGGAATAGCCCCATTGTATGGAATATTTTATGTTGGTTTATATTATATCAAATTTGCTTTGTTGGCCAAGGTAATTTGGGTGAGCTGATTTTAAAAATGGTCATTACCAAAATGTTGCTCTACTCTAATAACATCACTTTTATCTATGGAATGACATATATTCCGTAAAGTGTTACAGAATGAAATATTCTATCATCGGATGACAGAATAAACACTCGTGGCGACATCTCTGTTCTTAATATCTAACAAATTTTAGACTGATCCAACCTCACTTTCTTCCAATTAAATTATTTTTCTATGGTATTTTTTGGAAACGTAGAAAAAGTAAAGTCTAAAACACGTTTGGAATTGCATATTCCGCTCTCGTGAACCCGTCAAACTCGCCTTCGGCTCTTGTGACAAACTCTTCACTCGAGTGGAATATGCTGTATTCCAAACTTGTTACAGAATATACTATTTTTTCGACATGCATAATATATTCTTTGATAGTTTTAATTATATTTTTCATAATAAAAATTAAAAATCAATTCTCCCTATTAAATATTAATATAATATAATTATATAACATGAGAGTACGTAATACATGTATGTAATGATATCTTGACATGCACCTTAATATTATTTTTTTAGATATAACGCATGGTTTACATATTGTAGTATGTAGTATATTATATAATAGTATTTTATGTATCAAGTTTGGTAAACACCATTTTAGTCACGAATTTTAATTAGGCACGAGCAAGTGTTTATTTAAATGAGTGTCTATAAAATTTGATACTATACTTTTTGTTCGACAAATACATATTATTATCTAAAAATGATTTAATAAATTTAACATATTATTATCTAAAAATGATTTAAATTAAATATGTGTATAGAGCGATATCTATAAATCAGTAGAGCGCGCCGGTTAAAATGTCAATTTTTTATGTGTATATAGAAAAGTCTTCCTTGAAAATGTATTGAGATAATATAATAATTTCCATTAAGTATTATTTTAAATTGCTAATTAGTCCAGGCGCATTCGCCATTTTTGCAACTACCGCAGTGTAATTAGCAAACGAATTTCGGTCTTATTTTCAAATTAGCTGCCGCATTTAGACAAATCGATATAATAACACGCACGGTGGCGTGAAAAGTTTTCAGTATTAATCAATTTCTTGACCATGAATAATCTATTGAGCGTTGAGACGAGCAGAAATAACGGTGCTCCCGGTGAATCAATTTCAAAAAGATTATGCTGTAGTTTCATTTTGACCGCCGCTTTTTTGGCTATGCTTGGAGGTAAGATTTCCCTTATTTTTACATCGATTTGGTATGTGGTTATTATAGTAATGCAGTTGAGGAGCCCTTGTCAGTTTTTCTATATTGATCTACCTAAATCAAGTATTTTTAGAATAACGATTTTATCTATGTTGTATTTTGTTTTTTATTATACTAACAATTATTTTTATTTTAGGATACTTTCTGGGAGAATTTACGGCAAAAAGGGCAGAAAACAGATCGCGGGCAAATTACATTGAAATAATGAAAAAAATTGGTACAGTAAGTGAGATTTTCAGAGCCACTTTTCAAAATAAATGCGATTTTTCTAATTCCACAACCGATTCTTTTCAAAACAACAATATTTTCTTGGATGAACTTGTTACATGTTTTAAAAATGGTTAATTTTATGGTTTGTTAATAAAAAGTTTTGTAGACATACTTGTTTTATTAAAGAAATAACTAAGAATACATTTTAATATAACATTACATAATTGTATCAGGTTTATCGTTTGCTTAGTTGCTGTTATAGAACGTTTAGTCACTTAATTTTTCCTTTCCTAACTGGAATTAAGGACCGTTTTGGTTTTAACGTAGTGCCAGATTTATCACTTACATCAGATTTACAATGTTCATGTTGATTGTTTACCAACTCAGTAATAGCGCTGTTAATTGTATGTACACAATTCGAATATTCAGGTTCTTTTTTAGTATCAATATTGTATTTAGTCGTTTCAACTGTTGCAACTGAAGAATTTGTTGTTTCCATTGATTCTATATTATTAGCTAAATGGTTAACGTTGAAATAATGGAAAAACTGATGAAAAACGTCTTCCATAACACAACTTTGATTGCATTTAAATTTTTTGGGTTCAATCCTAACGGATTCTTCTGATAAACACCTTTTGCATGGCTTAAGAGAAATATTAGAAATACCACTCATCGAAATTAAGTCGGTATTTTCGTTTACTTCAGTGAAATTCAATTTATCGCTATTAATGGTATATTTTTTGGGCTGCATTTCCGATTCCACAATCGGGTTATCGTCTAAGAGTTTTTGCATTAAATTGTCTACGCGATTTAAATTGGTTTTAACGTCTTCCAACACTCCAGAGTTTTCTGCTGCTAAATCTCTTGGCGATTCCTCAAAAACCGTTTCGTTTACGATTACTTTAGGAGACAATATAGAACAAAGTAAACTATCGTATAAACTGTTGGTTTGAGTTTTCGTATTTCCAGATACCGTAAAAGTAATATTTCCCGGATTTATGGGGTCCGGAAGTTTACTGGTGCTAACTTGTGTGCCGACTTTGTTTAAATTTAAACTGTACGTTTTTCCCGTTAGTGGACTCCTAAACTCGTCCTTGTAGTTCTGACCTCCAAAGGATTTTTCAAAGTTTCCCATCCATGAGAACGTCGTGTAAGGTTGACCAAACTTGGAGAATTTCTTTTCGGAATTGCACAAGTTTTGAAAATACGGGTTGTACAAATTACTAAGTTCGTGCAACATATACGTATGTACATTCTTCTCCTTACTTGGTTTGGGATCAATGCTATGGTGACTCACACTATGATCACTTACACGATTATTATCTTCTCTATCCCTACTATGCCTGCTATCCCTACTTAGTCTGGTATCCCTACTATGCTTGGAATCCTTTTTAAGCGAATCCCGACTGCCTTTGGGACTTTCTGTACTGGCTTTACGACTTAGATTTTTATTGCTATGATCCGAATGCCTTGGATCTTTACTACTATGAGTATGACCTGAATGTCTGGTATCTCTGCTGTGTTTGGGACTTAAATGTTTGACAGGTGTTTCAGGGCTGCCAATTGCTGCTGGGTAGCAAATATATCGACGCGTTTTGTTGTTTTTTTCGTGTAGCTTTACGCTGACACGCTCCATATCATCTTGAATAGAAGGTGCACCATAAGAACTTCCAGAATCTAAAATGTAAATTATATATTTTACAATTACATTTGAAGACTAGTGCTGTCACATCTTTTTCAGTTTCTAGTTACAGAAAATGTATTGTGTGCCAGAGAGAAGTCCAAGTGGACGAGTTTTTAGTGTCTCATCAAATAAAATTTCCAGTGTAGGCAAACAAAAAATGTATCTTTGCATATTAACACGCCTAGTCTTTCATTATTCTTAACAAGTTATTTACCATACTGGGATTAATAACTAGTTACACAAGCAGATACATAACAAGTATCCAGATAAACAGATACGTTACAACATTGTTAAGGACCTCAGGAGAAAAAGCTTGACAAACTTATAATTTAGAAAAAAAAATAGTTAGTTTCTAACCTGGTGTTACATAAAATTTAAAATTTTTCAGTACATAGGGTGCGATGCCGTGCTAAGCAAAATCTCCGTATGTGCAATATTAAGTAATAAAGGACAAAAGATAATTTTTAACAACAAAAATAATCTTTTGTACTATTATTTAATACTTGACTTAGTAGGGCAGTGTGACAAACCCCTCCATTATTTTTTTATTTTTTTCAATGTTAAATCATTTAATGATCCTTTAAGGACCGTATAAACACCAAATAAATTATTAGAATTGCTAAATTTCAAAATAGGAATTAAGTAAAAAAGGTCAATTTCCATAAATCAAAAAACACAACTCAAAAATCTTAATCCACATGTAACGCCGGGTTAAACTTTAGTTTCTAGAGAGATCTATTTAAAAAATAAACACTAAAAACAGCATACCTAAACATTTTTTCCCAAAACAATAAATTTAGCAGCTTTGGCCCAGAAGTCTTCAATTAAACACGGTGTGCCTGAACGAAGTTTAAGTCACATAAAAATGCCGCCAAAAACTGATTGCAGATTCTTGTTCGGGACCCTTTGGTGACTTAAAAATGATATTTGACAAAATCCTAGCTGCTCCTCTTTCCAAATTTTTTTGAAAATTCATGATTTTTTTTAACCTTTTATAAAAAAATTGATTTTTAATAAAATTAAATAAAATATCGCTTAGAGAATATTTAAAATGTTGTTTAATTTAGGCTTTTTAGTAGTTTTCAATTTTGAACGAAAAACTGGTTAAAGTTTTTTGATCGGCACTCTTTGGAGATTTAAAAACGATATTTACCAAAATTCTAACTGCTTTTTTTAAATTTGTTAAAAAATCATTTTTTTATTAATTATTTGTTTATCGCAAAGTCTACCTTTGCCGGAGTACACATTTGTACACCGATTTTTACAGTTTCTTGTTCGGGACCCTTTGGTGACTTTAAAATGATATTTACCAAAATCCTAGCTGCTCCTATTTTCGAAAATTTTTAAAAATTTTATTTTTTTTTTTTAAATTTTGTTTATCTTACTTTTGGCAGAGTACACATTTGTACACCGATTTTTATAATATTGGAGTACCTATATTGTTAACGAGAATTGGAGAACACTGTTTTCATACTGAGCACATCATTAGATTTATACAGGGTTAGTCAAAAATTACTTTTTTTATAGTAAAAAGCATAATGCACAAAAAAGATTTATCTCCAAAAAATGTTATTTTATTTAATTTTATTCAAAATCAATGTTTCTTATAAAGTCTTAATAAGAATCCCACTTTGTAGCCTGATAAACATTAAAATATCTAAAAAAAACATGGGTGGGTTTATATCTTTTTTGCGTGTTATGCCAAATCATAAATATACGCTTTTGCTTTATTAAAAGAAGCGATTTTTGGCTAACCCTGTATATATTAAATGATGTGCCCAGTATAAAAAAGTATTCTCCAAATCTCCTTAACAATATACTCCAATATTATAAAAATCGGTGTGCAAATGTGTACTCTGTCAAAGGTAGACTTTAAGATAAACAAAGATAGATAGATAAGATAAAAAAAATCATGAATTTTCAAACAAATTCGAAAAGAGGAGCAGCTAGGATTTTGGTAAATATCATTTTTAAGTCACCAAAGGGTCCCGAACAAGAAACGGCAATCAGTTTTTGACGGCATTTTTATGTGACTTAAACTTCGTTCAGGCACACCATGTAAAGATAGAGAGGATGGAGGTATAATATCAAAATACTTTAGAAATCTAAATTCAGTTTACTAGGATATTGTAGAAAATAAGTGTTTACCTCCTTTGTTCTTTGGTCCGCAACCGCAATCTTTTTCGATTTTTTCGGCTTTTTTTGGTGGGCAGACGCAAATTTTATCATACACTTTTTCTTCTTGCATATAATTTGGCTCCATATGATATGGGCACTCTCTGTATCTTGGTTCTGCTACTTGAGGTCTATATAAAAACAAAACAATTAACATTGTTTATACTTTTTTTCTTAAAATATCTTAACAAACCTGTAACAATTAGGCAGTCCACAACCATAATACACCTGACATTTATTTTTACCTTTACCTTTGAACAGTTTTTTGCACATAGATTTACACGGGCAACCTTTCTTTCTAAAAAATGATTATAAATATTGTTTTCAAAAATAAAGAACACACACTTAGGATGGTTGCAAGGATATGGAACCGATATACAATATCCTCCTTCAGGCTGTCTCGGCGCACAGGGAGGCGATGCCATTTGGGGATCAGGGCGACGTCTTACCCAATTCCAACCCCACCATTTGCAGTACTGCAAGTCCCATTGATCTTCTCCACCTGGAGGGGGCGGGGGAGGTTTGCCATCTAAAAAGTAAAATATACATTAGAGTGGGTCGAATATCTGCTTTTTAAGAAATTAATTTGTTAATTAAGTTAAAATATTATTCTGAGGTAGAAAAAAATATTGGTCAACATGACAAATTTACTTAAAATTGAAATTAACAAAATATTTTTTTAGGCTACAAAAAAGGTCCTTATCAATTTTGACTAAAATAATGTAATTTCGCAAAAAATCTCGGTTTTATCCCAAATTTGTCAGTTTTTGACAAAATATTCATATATTATATCACGAGAACTATGAATTTAATCGGTTAAACTAGGCTCAGTAGTTTTTTGTTTGGTTTTTGTTGGAAAATGTTGAATGCAAAATAATTTAATTAAATCACGAGACCGCGTAGCGGTCGAGGGGTTTTATTTTTAATTATTTTGCATGAAACTATTTTCCAAAAAGAAAAATCAAATAAAAAACTTACTGAGCATAGTTTTACAGATTAAATTTATAGGTTGAGTGATATGCGTCTAGATTATTTCTCGAATTAAAGGAAACTATTTGACAATTCATAAAATCTGACGTATGTGTCAAAATTTATAAAATTTATAAAATTCCATTTATTCAAGGCTTTTGATTGGTTCATATTATAATGAGGGAAATAATCGCTGTTAAATAGTTCTAGTGATTTAATTGCTTATTTAAACGAAATTTATTCGAAAATTCTAATCTTTTGATTGGTTCATCTTATAATGAGGGAAATAATCTTATTTAAAATAAAACATTTTTTTGGTAAATTTTTTTAGTAAATTCA